TAAACCATTGAAGGTAGGGAGTTGAAGTTCGAGGATGAATCCTCCGAGATAGAAATTTTGTTCGAAAACTCGCCGACCCCTGCTTGTTGTTCAAGCACCCAGACGATGTTGTAAATGGTCAGCTGGCTTCAGTTATTGTGTGCGCTGGACTTCATATAGAGATGTAAGTGTAAGAGCAAAATAAGTCCTAACGTACCGTAAGAGAGTCCCAGCTCTTGAGTAAGTCGAGAAACAATCGCATTCGGGTCTTCGGCTAGCATTTCACTTACAGCAAAGATATTTGAGTTGGCACGAGCGACAAAATGATGTTGCGCAGCCCTCACACTGTAACCACTACGGTTTCTAGAAATTTCTTTATAATTTTATCGATTTGACTTGAGTAGTTGCACAATTCTTCTTCTTCTTTATTGGCGTTGGCACCGCTTACGCGATTATAGCCGAATCAATATTAGCGCGCCATTCCTCTCTTTGAAGCTAGGTCGCTCTCCACCTGATCCTTCCAATTGAGTGGAGGTGTTTCTCTTCCTCTGCTTCCACCAGCGGGTACTGCACCGAATGTTTTCAAAGCTGGCGTGCTTTCATCTATTCGGACGACATGCCTGGCCAGAAAGCCGCTGTCTCTTCATTCGCTGAACTATATCAATATAATCGAATAACGCGCACTGCTCATCGTTCGATCGTCTACGGTATTCGCCGTTGCCAATGCGCAAAGGAGCATAAATCGTTTTCGCAAAATTTTTCTCTCGAAGACGTCTAGAGCCGTCTCATCAGAGGTTGACATCGTCCACGCGAATTGTAGAGTTTAGTTTTCGTTCGCTAAGAGAGGACTTTACTTTTCCAACTGCCTACTCACTCAGAAGTAGCACCAGTTGGGAAGAGTTATTCTGCGCTGGGCTTCCAGGCTGACATTGTGTTTGGTTCCAAGATAGACGAAATTCTCTACGACTTCAAAGTTGTGACAGTCAACAGTGACGTGAGAGACGAGTCGCGAATGCGATGACTGTTGTCCTGTGTGATAACAGGAGATATTTCGTCTTGCTCAACTTCTTTTTCAAGTCTGGAGCAGAGCTCGTGGCGCGGTTTTTAAGGCCAGTAATATCGATATCATCAGCGTACCTTTATATCTATATATAATTGGCGCTTTGTAACCACTGAATCGATATTTCGGCCGAGGTCCTCCACCAATTGGTGGTTTTGCGTCTTAATGTTTTTCCCAACAAATGGAGTGATCTACAGTTTATACTAAGCCGCCTCCAAACAGCTAATGGTATTTTACTAGGAGCCTTTGTTTCGTGTCAGAAATACACGCGGAGGGGTTGACATTCCCTGCCGAGGTGTGACCGCAATTAGAAAATTTAGCTAAATTTTTTATTTAAAATAATTTTCCATAACTTTTGGATCTTGGTGGCAGCGGGATTTGAACCCGAGCCTTCCAGATGTCAGTACGCAATGCTAACCACTCGGCGTACCTGACTCGGAATATTCCGTACGTTATGCGGATGTCGGCCCCCAAGTCGGTTGGGCGGTGGGAGGGTATTCGTTGAACTTATCTTTATTATTCAGCTCTGCAGCTCGTATTGATTTCTCCAGCAATAAGTAAAAAAGTCACTCGATAAAAAGTCAGCTTGTCTGAAACCTCTTTTGGTATCGAGGGATTGGGAGGGGTCCTTCCCAATCCTGACGGAACTTTTAGTGCAGCTTAAGGTCAGTTTACACAGCCATATAAGTTGGAAATTCGATTATGTGCACCAAAGTGCTCTCTTTTAACCCGTTGAGCGGTTGTGAAGCGATCCATTTTCAAAACATGTTTGATTTGACAGTTCATTTTAACAGATGTCAAAATACAACTCTGTGCTTTTGAAACTCTACCTTCTCCCTGCATGGGCATTTGCAGCATATATGTAAGTAAGCCCAGAAGGTTGTACGAAATACGTGTAATTATCGAGCAATGAGTCAGCCATGACACAGTGTCTCCGATTTATTGTATATATATTGTATACTCGTACTGTGTACATATGTATACGTATAAGGAATGATGCGATTAATGACGTTGCTCCATCTTTCCATGCAAAATTCCAAAACAATGATGTCAATGATTTTTTTAAGATTTTTAACGCAATGTAAATTAACTTGAAAAATATGTGTCATTAATTTTAAGTGGGAGAATCTCAGTATTTGTGTGAATTTTTTGATGAATTTAAAATAAATAAATTAATTTTCAGAATTTTCATAAACGCTTACTCAAGCTTGTGACGTTCCATAAATAATTGTTCAAAAAAAAAAAAAAAATTTTGAAGAAATAGTTTTACTTCCTATAACTTTTTGATAACATAGAAAAATTATGCTCTTTAATCCATGCATTTATTGTATTGTCCACTTAAATCTACGAAGCCCAATTTCTCGATATTATGTATATAGTCTCCTCCGATTGAGGTGAGTAAAGTGATCTACAAGTTATTCTAAGCCACCTACGAACGGTCGATAGATTTTTATGAGAGGCTTTTAGTTTATTTCAGAAATGTACTCGGAGGGGTTGACATTCCCTGCCGAGGGGCAACTACAATTAGAAAAATTAATTTTATATAATTTTAGATGTTACTCGAACCAAGACTCGAACTCTGGCTTTCAAAATGGCAGCACGTTAACCACTCGGTTTTGCGGTCTGTATACATAATTGCACAAAGTGCCATCTGTCTAGCGACCGAGCTAGTACTTAATAATCGAAAGACGCTATACATTTAATTGTCTACATAGCTGGAAGAAGTATCAGAAGCATGCAGGACAGCCAGAATCCTGTGCAAAGGTGATAACTCACAACCTACTATCATCAAGTGGTAGGAGCATATGTAGCAGTAATAGAGAGACGGGCATGAGTGAGAGGTTAGAATACCTCCATAGTTTGGTCTGTTTCGAAAAATCTTTGCCAAGTTTAAAGACCCAATCCGTTGACGTACTACAAGACGCCTACTTTACCTCGTATTGAGCCTACATTTCATAAAGAACCAGCAGGTGTCTCAAAAGCTTAATAGCCGGCCAGTATTGGCTACCTAAGTTAAATTATACTTTTGTTTAACAGTGCAAAAAGCTAGTGAATTTTTTTTTTACAAAGAAAAATTTAACAAATTTTATCTAATTAAGTTTGAGATAAGATTACGCATCAAACCACAGAAGACAGAAGCTTTTTCTCCTCACCAGAAAATAAAAAAATCTCAAGGATTTCAATAAAATGCTCTCAGTCACAGAGCTGCGTATTACTGGTCTCCTAAATATCTGGGACACATTTTGGACAGAATATTGAGCTTGTCACAGAACTCGGAGGTAGGGATTCGTTCCATTGCTCTCTGTACTTTCAAAAGTGCTAGAAAGCGAAAATTAAGCATGTTAACGTCACGCCCGAATTTCACAGAATGCAGAGGACGGTGCACCTGTGTATTATTGGAATACTACTCAGCCTATGAATGTCCTCGATCTACACTTCATTGTCCATATGGGGCTCCATAATGCTACTTGTGCCGTGGTAAACCTACAGAGGGTGTCCACATGGAAAAGCATAATAATAACTTTAGAAGTTTGCGTCCTGCAAGACGGATTACTGCAGAGACTTCACGACAGATTTCATTGTAGTTATCACAGATAGAGACCACAGTAATATCAGCAAGCGCAGACTCGGCATGACGTTCCTCAGTGGTATCACAATGAGCTTGTATGGTGATCTGAACGAGCTGATGTGCGATAATTACTTCAACAAACCAACCAGAGCCAGAAGTTAGACAGACCAAATTTATATCGGTTTAATCATGATCTCGAGTTGAGTTGATTCAGTCAAGTCCGTTTGTTTGAACACAAACTGGGCCTTCAGTTTTTGAGGTATTTCAACCGATGTACAGATCACTGGTATATATTTAAACGATCAGTTATCCGACCCGGCCAGATCGGATCACTCTAGCGAATGCATAGATGACCGATTTTTCAGATTTAAAATTTTGAATTAAAATTCCATGAAAAAAGTATCTAGAAGCATGGAAGTTGATAATTTGTGATCAAATCACATTTGTCATTGAAAATCGTCGAAATCGGATGGCAATAATCTATAGCCCCTATACAACCGATTTGTAGAGATATGAGGTTTTAGGTCAAAATTGCGTCAAAAAAGTTTCTAATAACACGAAATTTGGGGTTCACATCCTTAAATAAATATTTTTGCCGAAAGCCATCGAAATCGGAAGAATGTTTCACATAGCCCCCTTACATCCGGTTGGTTCAGATATGAGATTTTGGCTCAAAACTGCCTCAAAAAAGCTTCTAAGATCATGAGCATTCACATACTCAAATAAATATTTTCGGGTCAAAACCTGTCAAAAAGGCAACTACGCGCGTGAAATACTGAAATCGGAAGACAATATTATTGGTGGAGACTCTACCAACTAGCTTTTCTGATATGAAAATTAATATTTAAACCTAAATTGAAATACCATAAATTTTATATGATCATAAAAGGTATAAAGACTACTCCGTTTTCTTGATTAATTAAAAATAAGTGAAATAAAATAAAAAGTTTTAAAAAAACAAAAAGTTAAGTTTTTGGACAGTTGTTCACCATTTAGTTTGGATCGCGGGGCTTTAAAGCACTTACCGAGCTTCAATATTTCATATTTCTGATTTGATATCAACCAAGCGCTACAAAGCTGTTTACATTAAATTTCATACTTACAAACCAACTTTTCTTAAAAAACAACGCATAATTTAAATTTGGTGTGTTATAAACAAAAAATTTAATTAATTAAAATTTTTATATTAAAAATTTTCTCAATAAACAGGCAAAATATACAACTATCAAGTAATATAAATATTAAATGCCTTCTTTTTTTAACAAATACATCAAAAATATATAAAAAATTGTACATTGTAGTTGTATGTAGATATATAAAGCTATTTTTCTTCTTTATGTTTTTCGTTTTGTTTTGTTTAATAAATTCACAAAGGATGTTGTGCATTTAATGTTTTTTTTTTTTTGCAAAATTTCGAGTGCCAAAATATGTTTTCCGCTTCTCTTAATTTGCTCGTACTTGTATGTGGTACCCGGTTGTATTAAGTATTTTAGTAAACATAAAAGTTATATGTAACACTTGTGAAATGCGCCTTAGTAATCATACCGACGCTGTTTACTGCGGAAACGCACAACCAGATATATGGCGAACAACAACATCACAGCCTAAAAATAAAAAGTGAAAAATGCCATATACATACATGCATACATATGTAATATAAAACAATAATTACAAATCAGTTGTAGGCGAATAATGAGAAAAAGCGAAAATATTTGTAATATTAAAAGGTTAACGCTGTCCAGAGAATGACGGTAAAAATACAATAATAAAAATCACAGTTAAATGTCATGAGATGAGAAAATATGGTTTGATCATATGATTGCATACAATTAATATATTTTGTATGTACATGTAAACATGATGTGTGTACTTTTTTTGCATTTACTTACATATATTTGTATGTATGTATACATATTACTTACCGTGAAGACAAGATTTCCCCATTCACCGCTCGATGAATAATTGAAAATGTTTAGAAATTGCTCTTCGGCCGCCTGGATGCAGCCCTTATTCCAGAGTGCCGTTTGATTTACAATCATTTGAGGATAACAGCTGGCGGGGTATGCGGCACGTCCGATGGCATAATAATCTTGAGGGTTAATTTTACCGCAACAGTGATACTGTAAAGAGATAATGGTGAAATTGTTGTTATTTTTAAGTAATTTTATACATCAATATTTATATATAAAGTGCTCGCCATTTCATCGTTTCAAAAGTACGAGGCTGTATTTGGACATCCGTCAAACTTAATTGTCAAACCAAACATGTTTTGTTTTAGTTAAAAGAATAAGGCATATATATGAGGCTTAACAAACGCACAACTCGTTAAAATGGTTAAAGCCTACAAAAAAAAGTGATGATTCAGCTCTAGCACAGAGAGCACTTCGATACTCGGTCGATACTCGCTCGATACTCATTCGTTGCTCAACTGCTCAAATGATAGTTTGAAAATTTTCGAATTTCAATTTTGTTTATCAAAAATTCTTTAGCATTTCGATGAGCTCTACACTTTGCATAAATGAAATTAATATAAAGAAAGTTCTGGGAAAAAGTCAAATTGCTCAATCAAAATGCTCGAATTGCTCGAGCTCAAGCTCAAAATGAGCAATGAACGAATGTGCGAGTACTCGTTGCTCAAAAGCTCGAGTAGTTCTAAAATGTTGCAAGAAAATTTTGAGCTCCCATCCAAACATGGCCACTTTTCATTCTTCCAGAGAAGATTTTGACGCGCATATCTTGCACTTGGACTTACACCTACATCCTTAAAAAGTTCAGCTTAAACAACAAGTGACGTCAGCTGACCGTACATTGGGTGCTTGAACAACTAGCAAGGGAAGGCGATTTCGGGAACACAAATTTTTTTAGCCTAAAGGCACATTCCTAGGATACGGAGGATACGTCAATAACCACGAGAACTCGGTGGTCTACTGCAATTCGAGAGATAACACGGTTCGGAAACTTTTCCTTAAATTTCGTTGTTCGTTATTGTCCAGATCAGTTTCATCCATTTCCGGTCATAAAAAAATTATTATTCATCTTTCCATTTATATTTGAAAAAGGAAGGTCCAATGATACCGCTGGACTATAAACCGCACCAAAAAAGTTACACGTTGAGGATGGAAATGCCTTTCAACAATAAATCTTGAGTTATTGGAAGACAGGGTATCAGAGTTTTGCTTATTGACGTAGCCATCGATGTGGAAATGGGTTTTATAAGTCAAAATGAATATTCAATCCAATTATGTATCATTTTTACGAATATCAAAGACCCAATCAGCGAAGATACGTTTGTTTTTGTTGATCGGCCGGTTTGAGTTCTTGTGCTAACTGAACTTTATAGGCCTGAAGACCCAAGTTTTTACGCAAAATACACTGTAATGACGTTTAAGGATGCCCAGTTCCGCAACACGACCTGGATTATCTTCAACACTTTGGGCTACAGCAGAAATATTCTCAGTTGCTCTTGAGCCACGTGCACGTGTATTTTTCTGCACATCAGTAACTTTTAAACAACAGCTTCACTTTTTCCACCGATTACTGTATTGCGGTTCGGCAAGGTGCTTCACGACGACCGAAAAATATTTTAGTTTTACGAACTGTCTCTGTCGGGGCTTCCCAGGCAGAATTTTTATAGTAAAAAGTTCATTTCATTGAGAACAAATTATTTAAAATCCATTATATTTACGTTTATTTTCGAAACCACAAAATTTATAACCCTGTCTATCCAGCTTCTTGCATTTAAAACTTCAATTAATTTATTGGCTCAAGCAGAGATTAACAGCATGAAGGTCAGAGATATGTACGCAAATAAGTACATTGTTGTATATACATACATATGTAGGTACATATGTATAATTTTTTTGTATAAAATAATAAAATTCACACTCTCTTATCAAGTTCTGAAATTTCAATAAACAAATGACTCATAATAAAAATATTAAATTTTAACAAATTTATTTTAATAATAATAAACAATGTTCATCATCATTTCAAACTTGTACATATGTAGATATATACATATGTGTTTAAGTATGTATGTGCGCATACGTGCAACATATTCACATAAATAAATATTTATGGACTTTTCTGTTTAAAAGATTTGATGTGATATTCTGAATTAACAAAAACAACAAACAAAATTTCAAATTTTAGCTTCTCGATTGCTTGTTTGCCAAAGACTTAAAAACTCAAAACCGGTAATTAAAAATAGTCTTGTTTATTACTTTTAGTATATTAACCCCAAAAATTTTATTAATCTATACACATGCACTCATACATACGTACATTTGTATATACTTTATATGCGTTTTATTTTTGGTACATGCGAGCAAGAATCGATAGCAGTTTTGTTGTTTTATATATGATGTCAAAAAAAAAAAAAATATTTTATATGATTTAAATTTTTTTAACGTTTTTTGTTTGTTTTTGAACTTAATCAATATGATTTTTGGCCAAAAAAAATATATAAAATTTTTCCACACGAATTTGTTTTTTACTTTTCTTACAAATAGCTAATTTCTTTTAATAAAAAAAATCTATTTCAATTTTTTAATATTACTATAAAAATGAATGCCACGAGTATAACAGTATAAGGAGCAGTAATTACTGGAGCTCTCGATACCCATTTAACGAGTTACTGAAGTGTTCAAATATTTAGTAAAAAAATTTCTAGTTTTTAAACATTTCAAGCTACAGATCTAAATTTTTTATGAATATACGAGGATATACATGCATTTGCTTCTAAAAATTTTTTTTAATTTTTCCATAACAAAATTTTATATCAAAAAGAATATGGAAAATATCTCGTCAAGTTGGAAAAAAAATTTGTAAATAAAATTTTCGAAAGAAATTCAAATCGTTTGACTTCGTGCTCATACATTTTCGAACAATAAGCACGGAACAGATGTGCCATCACTCGCTGGTGTTTCAAATCTGAATTGTTCGAAGCAAATCTGGCGAATTTGTGCCAAAAACAAAATATTAATTTTGCGGTTTCCCCCGAAGTGCTTTCAAACTAGTTACCGAAACAATCTTAAACCACAGTCAATGCTTTTCACGCGTCTCTGAAACCGAATAATATTTGTATACTGTATTTCTTTGTTAAAATGTTCGCTTTTTCCGATTTTGCTCAGTAAAATTTCTAACTGAACCTGAAACGGACTTAAATAAACATAAATAATCTCTAAACCCATCACGAAAAGTGTCGAAACTAGTTCCAAAATGGTCCAGAGATAGACCTGACCTGAACTACTCAAAAAAATTTCTATTTATTTTACATGTTAACTTATTATTACTTAGAGTCAAATATGTTCTCAATTAGAATTCCTTTAATATAATATCAATATGTGCTTGGAACACTTGAAAGGCAGCAAATAAAAACATGACTGTTATTCAATTTATGGCGAAAAGTTGTTATTTATCCCCACCGCATTCATAGTTTTTATAGTTATTGCTATTAACGCCCCTCTGTCCCTGACGCCATCAAAGGTTGGCATAAACTAAGCAAATAATTTAATTATACATATTTCCGAGTATCTGACTATTGTAAGTGATGGCAATTACTTACTCCTCTTCATTAAATTTAATGTACTCGCCTACGTACAACCGTAGTTAATCAGAAGCCCACCTTTCCCACTCAAAACTCACCGTTTGCTGTGTATTGTTCATTGCACCAGGCAATTTAATTTCCTCCAACCACGTCTTCTCCACATCTTTGGTAGCGAATTCTTTAATTGCACCCGAATCGGAAGCGTAATATTTGCCAACTATTTGCGAAACCAGGGAGAGCGCAATAATAATGGCATACTAAATAGAGAAAAAGAATTTAAATAAAAAAAAAAGTTGAAAATAATATTAATAAAAAAATAATAACATAAACAACAAATAAATATGGCAATAAAGTAATTAATCAAATGTGTGGCTGAAGCTATATATGTAAATATGTGTGGGTAATTAAAAAGCGTATAATGTTGTGTGTACAAATAAATTACTCATACGCACCGTCATCGTCAGGCAAACATCTTCTTGGCAAATGCCACAGCAACCCAACATTGCTGCTACGAAATTAACGCCACCCACAATAAACAGATAATAGATATAGACTTTCGGTGCGGTGTTGAAGGAGAGAACAGCCAAGGCGATCAGCAGCAGACCGAAGATCTGAGGTAAAAAGAGGAAGAAGCGTAATGAGATTAAATAGCTTGCAGTAAATATTTGTTTTGATGTTTTATTATTCTATTTTAATAATGTAAAACTAAATTAATTTGAAAAATTTGAAATAACATAAAAGAAAAAAAAAAACAAATAAAAAAAAGGAAATTAACATTAAAATATAAATATATATAAAATATAATTAAATTGAAGTAAAATAAAATAAAATAAAATAAAATAAAATTAAATAAAATAAAATAAGATAAAATAAAAATAAAATAAAATAAAATCAAATAAAATAAAATAAAATAAAATAAAATAAAATAAAATAAAATAAAATAAAATAAAATAAAATAAAATAAAATAAAATAAAATAAAATAAAATAAAAATAGATTAAAATTAAATTAAATGAAATAATATAAAAAATTAAATATAAAAGAAAACAAAAAAAAAGAATTAAGTATAATAAAATGAACTTAAAACTCAAATTAAAAACTAAAAAAAATATATAAAAAAAGTAATTAAACTAGAAATTAAATAAGAGAAACTAAGTAGAATAAAATCAAGTAATGAATCAAAATAAAAAATTTAAGCAAAAAGTTTAAAAATAAACTAAAGGATTCAATAAATCAAATTAAGAACTTAAAAAAATGTTTAAAAACTGAAAATATTAATCAAAATTACATACAATAAAATTATTTAAAATAAAATAAAGTAAAATAAAAAAAAATAAATAAAATAAAATTAAACAAGATAAAACAAAAAATAAGTAGAATAATATAAGCATAGAAATGAAATGAAACTAACTTATACAGAAAGTATAATAAAAATAAAAAAAGATAAAAAATTCAGGTCAGTAAAATTAATTAAAGGCAAATAAAAAATTAGTTTTAATTAAATAAATAAACGAAAAAAGGATAAAAATGAAATGAAAAAGATAATATAAAGTAAAAGAAAATAAAACAAAATAAAAACTTAAGTATAAGTTATAACGCAAAATAAAAGAAAATGGTATGCAAAAAAATGTTACAAAAAAATTAGTAAAACGAAATGAAAATATTTAAAATGAAATCATAAAAAGAAATTCGAGAAATCGAAAAAAAAATAAATAAATAAATGCGCAGAAAATACGAAATTAAAAAAAAAAACAAAAGTAATAATTTATAAAAAAATTAAAATATTTTATTCAAGAAAAAACTATAAATAAATAAAAAGGATAAATAAATAAAACGCAAACAAAATAAAATGAAATCAAATAAAGTTATGAAATAAAAAAAAAACTGTAGTTAAATTAAATGAAAGTAAATATAATAAAATGAAATAAATTAAAATAAAAATACCTAAATATTGGTTTTGAAAGATTTATAAGAAAATTTAAATAATACAAAAAATTTTCAAATAATCAAAAGAATGTAAATAGATTAATTTCGTATAAAATAAAATAATATTAATTAAGTAAAAAAAATACATATATAAATATACGATAAAAGAAAATAGCTCTAGTACAAGTAAATGAAATATTATAATATTTGAATATGAAATAAATACAAATTTAACAAATATAATAAATAAATAACCATATGCAGTTGAGCATATTTGTGGTTTTCAACAACAAAACCAAAATTTAAAATTTAACTGCAGATTCCCCGCAGCCGTGAATACAGTAAAAAAAAACAGCAGCCAGTGCCACCCCATTTTACGTGACTTGGCGACAAGCTAGTACATTAAGTTGTCAGCAAAGCGCTGTGAGTGGGGCGCTGCAACTTATTGGCACAAATATTTCGAGTTTCAAACAAGTAAATATCTGCTGCATATATACAAACTTACACATGTACAAAGCTTAATATGTTTACATGGCTTCTGTATATGCCTACATACATGCATACATATGTATGTGCGAGTATTTACGTGACAATGTATTTGATGCTCGTTTATGCGTATCACAAAAATTGTCGCTCTGCTGTGCCGATCAAACAATAGCCACAACAACAACAACAACAACTTGAACACGCTTAACAGCAACGATTATAAAGTTGAGCTTAAAATGTACCACTTAAAGCTTAAAAGGCGATAAGCGAGGTAAGCGTAACAGAAATATGATTTTTCTTTACCTACACACATGCACATACATGCACATACATACATGGCAAACATTTTTGTATTATTTGTGCTTATATATGTACATATGTACATACTGGTATGTGGCTATTATTTTATAGCCATGCGGCATGTGAATTGGAAAAAAAATACAAACTTCAAACAAACAAAACAAAAACAACAACAATGTTAAGCATATTGACGCAGCTGCTTATGAATGCAAATTAACATTTTAGCTGCCGATCGATGATATCATTTTAGGTGCAAAATTACTTTACACATAAGTAAGTACATATGTATATATGTATGTATGTATATTTATGGGACCACGTACAACAGTGAACAGTGAGCGGTTTGAATGTCAACGGTTTTTTTTTTTTGTTTTTATTAGATACTTAAATGTTTTTTTATTTTAATTTATTTTTATTTTATTTTATTTTTTTATTTATTTGTTAGCTTGCGCACATTGAAATTTATGCATTTGTTGCTCCATAAGCGTTTAGAATCTTTGTATTTTTTTCGCCAAATTGGCAGTGAAAAGCACCGCCTATATGCGTGTGTGTGTGTGTGTAGCTATGTCTGTGTGTGAATGCGTTATTCATCGCCATTTATTTGTTTGTATCACAGCAACAACAATGGCAGCATCAACAACATGCACTTCTCTTGTCATTATGTTGTTGTTATTGTTATTGTTGTTGTTATTGTTGCTCTAAAAACTAAAATATTTCAATTCTTTGCATATTTCTATATTTTGTTTTTGTTGTTTTAGTATCCTATTGCTATTACATACACATAAATAATTACAACTTACCGCCATGACAACATTCAAAATGTTCAAAATACATTTCATTACACCGGATGTACAACCCATTTTGAAAACTTTGCCGCTTCTTTAGCTATCTACAAGCGAAAATCGAAAAAAATTTATTAAAAATAATATGCAATTAGTTGCATTTGTTTGCATTGAACAGGCAATAACCGTTAAATAATCACATATCTAGTCACGTTAATAATTGTTAAAAAAAAAATATTATCTTCAATTTATAAGCAAATCACGTTTTCTTGCAATGGAATTGTAGAAATTAAATAGAAAAATTTTAAATAATAACGCAATAAATAAATAATACCAATACATACAACACTGTAGAAAGCCGTAGAAACTTTTTTGTTTTATTTCTTTCTTTTTTCACTTCTTCACAAAACACCGCAACAACACACTAAGTAAATGAAATTTATTCAAATATTCACAATTTAAACGCGCAAACCAGTTGGCAAGAGCAATGAGTGACCAAGCAACCGTCTTGAACGAAGTCAATTTTTGAAATGCCAAAAAATCGTATATTTTTAAACCTGAAATCGTTATTGCGCAGCCTATGTATGGATACATGTCTTTGTTTGTGTGTGTGTGTTGGTGTGCTTACTCGTTTGTTCGTTCTCCACCACTTGTTCGCCGCGCTTGATCGCTCCCGCTGTTGTGTGTTGTATTTTCGTAATCGATAGTTCGTGAAGCAATAACAGTCATCGTGTATCAGCGACTCGCTTATGTTGCATGCAAAAATGTTGAGCAACATTTGTTGCTTATGCTAGCAACTGGAGAGTTGATAAGCTTATAAACTTGTTTTAGACTCCCTGTTAGCGTTCAAACAAAAAGTACCCAGGAGAAGTTTTCAGAAGCTCTAGCTCGCGTAAATAAATACGAGGTGTGACAATTAAGTAATGGGACTTGAAAGATAAACAAAAAGTATTCGCTCAAATTAAAATAATAAATAAATAAAATAAATAATAAAACAAAATATTAAAAAATAAAAACAAATAAATTACATTAAATATAAAAAAATATAATTCAATTAAATTCTTTTAAATAAAACAAAATTTAATCAAGTCAAGTTAGATAAAATAAAATAGAAGAAATTAACAAACAAATAATATTGAAAAAAAATTATAATAAATGAAATAAAATTCATTGAATTAAAATGATTTTCATTAAATTAAGCGAAGTAAAATAAAGTAAAATAAAAAAAATGTAAAACTAAATAAATACTGTTAAAAAGCACACACGACAAAAGTAGACTGTATTCTTTTCTCCTCATCATTATGAATCCCATCGCACTGTCACTTGTAACTAATTGTCCTATAACAGGAATTCAAAGACAAATGCATATTCATCGATGTTTTCTCATCGTCATTGAAGAATAAGAGTGCTACCACTTGAGGCCCTTCTAGTGGATCTTTTTGCTACTAATTTGAAAGTACTATTGAAACTTTTGCCATTAAAGAATTCTATGACATTCTCTTTCTAAAACTAAAGTTTCCAACGAGTATACCTTCCTTCTTTCTTCTCCTACGCTCACCAGCGAGTATTGCAATTTTTTTCGACATCATGGCCGCTGTCTCTCGTACAGCTCGTCTCGCTCTTCGTCTGCTCCATCGGCATTACCAATGCTCAAAGGACCGTAAGTTATTTGCAAACTTTCGCTCTCTCGAAAATTCGGAAAAAACTACAGCAGAAGAATTAAAAGATATAACTGCTTTTTCAGAAAACTTTGCAGACCTTCTCCCAGCCTCCCTTGTTCGAATTGGATCGGAAGTTCCAATCCACATCACGAACTCATTGTTGTTTTTCAATGTTTTCCTTTTTCGAAATATTCACGATCGAGTGCCCATATTTCTGGAGCAGTAAACTTGTCGCTATGTACTTTGTTTTTGTAAAAATCATATAACATTTTTTTTCTTTACTTTTCACTTTATTTTAAGATTTTCTAAATTTCCATTAAATATGTTTATTCATTAATAATAATTTGCTCCCTTTTCTGTTTATGGTTCACCATGCTTTGTGTGAAATAATAAGCAGAGACTACGCCTAAAACCTGCAAAAAGAATGATCACATTTTTTTTTCGAAAATGTACAAAGAAAATATTCGCACCTGAAAAGCAATTAATCCAACAATTATCAAAACCAGATTATCACTCTGGTCATTGAAGAAACTCGTCACAGCATCCACACAGCCTCGTGCTAGTATATTATCATCCTCCGCGCAATCTCCCCAGCGACAACAACTACTCGGCAGGGTTTGCTGTTTATCGGGCAAGTAATCCTGTGGGCTGTCGCGGCCGCAACAGTTGTGCTTGAAATGGAAGAGAAGAAAAAAAGTTAAGTAGGCAACAAAAAAAAATACAACACTTAAAATAATAATAGAATAAAATAAAACAGATATCAATAAAATTAAAAGACAGAAAAAAAATTAATAAAATTAAATAAATTAAATTAAATACTAATATTAAAGAAATAAATAACTAAATTAAATAAGTAATAAAATTAAAATAAAATAAATTTAAATTAAATTCATTTAACATCTTGAATAAATTATATTAAATAAATAATTAAAAATAAAAAAAAATTTGGTTAAATTAATATAATTTAAAAAAATAAACGAAAATATTGATAAATATATAAATTAAGACAAGAATAAAGTAAATTGAATAAACTAAAATAATAAATTAATTGATTTAAACAAATGACAAAATAAATTGAAAGTTAATTTTATTAATTATTTAATTATCAAAATTATTAAAACAATATCTAAAAAATTATAATAAATAAAATAAATGTAATTGAACTAAATTAATTTCCAAATAAATAAAATTAAATAAAATTGAATGAAAAAAAAAACAAGAAAAAATTACAATTAAATTAAATTAAAAAATAGAATAAAAGAAAACACTTAAACAAAATATATTAAATCGGAATAAAAAAATATAAATTAAAAAAACTTAACAAATAGATTTAGAAAAATAAATAAAAACAAAAGAAAAAAATTAAAGCATACTAATATTAAAGAAAATAAAATAAAACAAAGTAAAATAAATTAAAAACCAATTAAAATAAAAATATTTAAAGAAAACAAACTAAAAATAATATGAAATAAAGTAGACAAAACAAAATAAAACTAATTGATTTAAATTTAAATAAAATAAAATAAAATATAAAACAAATCAGAATATAATGAAAGCAAATGAAATATAATAAATAAACATAAAATACATAAACTAAAAGCAAATCAAATAATATTAAAAGAAATAAAATAAACAAACTTAAATAAAATAAAACTGAATAGAAAAAACTATAATAAAACAAAACAAAAATAAACTGATTTAAAAAAAATAAAATACAATAAAATAAAAATCAAATTAAAATGATATAAATAGAAAAATAAAATAATAAAAATTTTGCAAGCATGCATTACATGAAATTAATTATGTTAAACTTAAATAAAGTGAAGCAAAATACAATAGAAGGATAATATAAAAAATTAAATAACTTAAAATAAATATGACCTAAAATAAAACAGTTAACTTAAATTAAAAATTTTGAAAAAAATTAAGTCAAATAAATTTACAAAATCTCTTAAAGTATAGCATAATTAAATAAAACTAATTAATATAACTTTTTGTAAGACGGAAAATAAAATTTATTAAAATAAATTGTAATAAACAAACCATATTAAATTAAAATATTGCTAACTAAAACCCAAAACCAATTCAACCGAACCTGAAAGGCATCTAAAATATGTATAAAAAAGTAAAATAGAATATAAAAAAAAAAATATTGAATAAACACGAATAAAATAAACTAATCACATCAGTTAAGTGTAATTAAAAATTAATTAAATCAAGAAATGAAAATAAGGGAATATAAAATTAAAAAAACACCACAATACCTGTTCTTGCATTGCATCCATTTCTTGCTGCGTTTCCGGTCGTCCATTCCAAATGCCTTGTACCCGCTTTGCCGCCATTAAAGTAAAATCATCCTTTAGTATACCAAATGCGATCATACCAACCGTTTGCAAAACAATGCACAGCACTGTAGATACTATATACTGTAAATTAAAAAATTAAGTTAATAAATCCATGATGATTCTACTGAATATTAGAAAACTTTTTTTTTAATTATTTTGTATTTTATCTGTAACTCACCGCCCATGATAGGATTAACGACTGACGCACCGATGCCATGGCACCCATTAAAGCTATAAACATTGCTAAAAAACCAATGGAAGCTGCTGTGTAGGCACCGGCCAAGGAGCCAGCACCGCCCAAAGACACAACACCGCATGAGATGAGTAGAACGTCAAAGGCCTGGAATAAGTTTAGAATTTTAGAAACATAATTTGGTTATAAATAAATATACATTTGTATGGTGTCGTATTAACAACCAAAAAGTTATAAGAAATTGATTTAAACAAAACATTAAGCTAAATTTTCTAATTGCGGTCGAACCTCGACAGGAAAAGTTAACCCCTCTGATTGTATTTCTGACATGAAATAAAGGCTCCTCATTAATATAACCAGTCATTCGGAGGCGGCTTAGTATAAACTGTAAGTCCCTCCATTTGTTGGAAAAACACCAAGATGCAAAACTATAAATTAGAGGAGGAGCTCGGCCGAAAATCGTTTCGCACGATTTCTATGAATCAGGCATCCGTAAATTGGTTGAACGTTAGGAGTGGATTGCCGAACGTAATGGCGAATACATAATTGATTAATAAAAGCGCTTTCTTTAAAAAATTTCAATTTTAGTTTGCACTTGAAATCGGGCACGAACTTATGCACTCATCCAATATAAATACGTATATCACTCATTTTTCAATTCAAATAATAAAAAAAAAAATTATTATATTTTTAAACAGGTACCAAATTTACCGCCATATACTGCACTTAGATGTGTTTGTAATTATGATGAGTCTGCTATAAACAATTTACGTATAAATACCACACTTACACATGTACACATACTACGTATCCACTAAGAAAATGTAAGTAATAGTATTCCAATTGCACTGATACAACAAATCCTCTGCTGCTTAACAATTTTAATGAGATTATTTTTGCTAAAAATTGCGTCTAAAAAATAAAATTCGTAAATTTACGGCTACAAGCGGCAAAGTAACAACTACATGATAATTAAATGAGAAATTTTTTCTTAAAAAAAAATATGTGAAATTACTAGAAATTCTTGAAAAATTCTCATTTTCCTCTGTCTCTCGTCACCTGCTACAAATGAATGTAAGTTTGTAAATTTTTCATTGGTTCATCAATTCTCAATCTAAGATATTATTGCTCAATTGCCAACAAATTTCGATCACTATTAGCCAATAAAATTTGTATCTATTATTTTTTTGTATTTCTTTTTAATTTGTATACTTACAGTTATCATACAATTTACAACCAGAAATACATACTTCCACAGTGTGGCCGTCGAAAAAGGCACCTTCATCTTGCCGTTGACACTTTTCTTAGCTAAAAATTAAATAAAATGTTGTAAGCAACAAATAATTAGCCCACTTGTTAGACTTATGTTTTATGTCAAGTATTTCAATACTAATTAAACAATTCAATTCATCAGAAAATTCCGTCACTGTCGCTTTGGCAAATGTGCAAATGAATTCGTAGCCAAAGGCATTCATTGATAAGTCTGACTGATGTGTGTTTTGTTTTGATATTTTGGTCAACAATAATTTTGATTTCAATTATAAAAGGTTTTAATCGATTTTGCTTAACTTTTATTTAACATAAATTATATTACTTTAAATTTGTTCATTTAAATTAAATTAATTTAAGTTTATTTCATATTTATTTTTTTTTTAAATATGAGGTTTGATTTTGATATTGAAAAAAGACGTTTTTTGAGATAAATGATCGGGTGTTTATTTCAATACAAAGAGGAAGATATGCCATTATTAATGTAAGGCAATATCAGCCAAATGACCGCCACGGCTATGCTTACAGGAACGTATAGTTTCATGCAATTTCGTATCCCCAAATCGCAAAGTTGCTGCTGCAAGCCCTCATAAGCTTCACGAATTCCAACTTTGAGGTGTTGAGTCGGCTTTGGCCTATTTACGTAGACCTTTTCTTTCACGTGGACCCATGGGAAGAAGTCCCAAGGTGTTACAACACAAGATCTCGATCGATCACCTCTCCGAGACACATTCCGAAAACTTTTTCCTTATCAATGGTTTCGTTGCTTGTGTAGCTGTCTTGCTGAAAGTAAACTTTGTGTCGGCCAACACCCTCCGACCATAAAAATCATTAATCATCTCTCGCTAGTCAATCCGTCGTTGTCGTTGAGGAGAGAGAGACTTTTCAACAGTAAATATTGGGCTTTCCGTGCACCAATTGCGACAATTTTGCTTATTGACGCAGCCATCGAGGTGGAAATGAGCCTCACTAGTCGAGATGATTTTTCGATGAAATTCCCCATCATATTTATGTGAATTTTGATCATTTCAATGCGTTGTTGAAACAATGGTGACATCTACCGGAAAAATAACACCTCTATTCATTTTATTTTATTTTACTTAATATAATTTTAATGAATTTATTTCATTTAATCATAGCTTATTTAGTTAACTTGAATATAATTATATTTTACTTTAGATAATGAAAATTTAATTTTTTTAAATTAAATTTAAGCTTATTTGATTTTATTTAATTTTGTATGTTCTTATATACATTTTGATTAATTTATTATTTTATTTTTGATTTATTTATTTTTATTTTTTTTTATGCAATTTATTAAGTTTTTTTTTCTATTGTATTTTATTTTTTCTAATAATTTTGGTTTTTTATTTTATTTTCATTTATTTTGATGAATTTGATTTTTTACATTGTTATATTATTTTTTTCAGTTTATTTAAATTTAGTTAATTTTGTATTGTTTTATTTTATTTTATTTTAATTTATTTTATTTCATTATATGTTATTTTATATGATATTATTTTTATGTATTCTATTTTAAATAATTAAATAAGAAATATCCCGAATAAGTCAGCCCCTGGTCCGCCCAGGAATCATAGAAACAATCTGACGAAATGTCAAATCAATCGGTCGGTAACTTTCGGAGATGGCTGGACGGAGATTATACTTTTATACCTAAAATTTATTATATTTTTTTAAATATTATTTCATTTTACTTTTTGAATTTAATTTATTTTTTCCATTTTCTATGTTCTATACACTTTCATTATAAACTTTTTTATTTCAGAATACTTAATTCTTTTCATATTTTTATTTAATTTTGTTCACTTTATATTAATTTGTTTTACTATTTATTTTACATTTTTTTGTGAAATTTTCCAACATGTTTTATTACCAATTTTTTTTGTTAAACTTTATTTCGCTTAATTAAATTTTTTAATTCAAATTTAATATGATTTAAGTATTCATTTATTTTTGATTGTTTTTTTGTGATATTTTTTATAAAATATTATTTAATTTAATTTTTTTGTTATTTTTTAATTTTTTTCACTTTATATAATTTTATTGTACTATTCATTTTTTGAAATTATTAAATTTATTTTATTTTAATTACTGACCCTTTTACGTTATAGTTTGTTTTCTTTAAATTCTTTAAATTAACTTTTTATTCATTTTTTTTGTAAAATTTTTTAATTTATATTATTTTAGTTACTAATTTTTTATTTGTTAAACTATTTCGTTTAATTAAGTTTTTTAATTTAAATACAATTCCATTCATTTTTATTTTTTTGTGATATTTTTTATTTGTAAAACTTAATTTAATTTCATTTTTCATTTTTTAAACTTTATATAATTTTATTCTACTATTCATTTTTTATTTTTTTGTGATATTTTTTTATATTTTTTATTTTATTAACAGAACTTTTTACGTTAAACTTTATTTTGTTATATTAAATTTTTTATAAAATTTAATTAAATTTATTTTCTTTATTTATTTTTTATTTTATATACATAGTTTTATTTTATTTAGCTTTATTCTCTATTTTCATATTTTTTACAATAATAATTATATATATTTATACTTTCCTTTGTTGTATTCAGAAAACACAAAACAAACAAAAACAATAAAATTATAATTCATTAAAAAGAGACAAATGCTGTGCCACGCAATATCATTTATGTGTTAGATTTACATTTTTACGTTTTCTCAACCATATACTTTACTGTAATTCAATGCACTAGTTAACTGTGACATTTTTGTTTATTTTTAGATTACTGTAAAATTGTATTTTATGTTGTTTGACGTTGAAATGTATTTTAATTCCTTTATATTTTTCACACAATTATCGTTGCTGATGTATCTTGATTGATTTATGTATCTTTTACTGCACCATATTTATGTTTTTTGTTAACATAAATTTATTTTTAAAGATCTAGTACATTTCTCCTTTTCTCTGTACACAAATCTTTAAAAAATTGAGAATTTTAATTTCAAAACTACCTTAACGTGTACCGCTTGCAACCGAAATGATCGCGTCCGTGCCACATTGACGACTACTGATGGGCGCATACATACAGCACCGTTCAAATAAAAGAAAATTTTCGAAAGAAGAGCAGAAAAAAGCTCGTGGAAAATTGAATGACTGAAAAGTCTGTTCAAAAACGATACGAGCTGTATGCCAAATACAATTGAATCAAATTGTAACATACGAATCTACCGGTCTCGACTGTTGAGAGAAAAGTTTATAGAAAAACACACAACTATAATAAATACATATGCATATGCGTACGTATATATTTCTATATCGCATGCAAAAATAGAAAATGATTTTGTAAGTAAATATATATATATATGTATTTACTCATACATATATTTTGCTCAGCAATTTACTTTGTTGAGAACTTCATGGTTGTTTTCGGCACAGAAAATTGAGAAATTTCTGTAGTGAAAGTTTTGTGAGCAATTTTTTTTATTTATTTTCGTTGCGTATTTTTCGTAAATTTCACTTCGCGCTCTTTGACAATAAGTTTAACTAATAATAACCGATTAAATATAATCAAAATCAAAATTAATAAAATTTTCGTGTCATATTTTCTTTAATCACCATTTGACTAGTTAGTTTTGACATTATAATTTCAACTCTTTGTATAATATTAAAAAATTAGGTACAGTCGTTACGTGAGTAAAAGCATTCTTAAAATCATTAAAAAATGCAGCTCACTCAATGGACGTTACAAATTTCACAGGTTACATAAAAAATTAATAAAAAATAACAAACAAACAAAATATTTATATATTTATTACTTAAACAAAACGTCTTCTAAATAACTACATCCAACGTAAATTACGTCTGCTCTCGTTTTTCACACTACTGTACAACATCCAAGCCAAAACGGCGCCGACAATCTGTATTTAAAAAAAAAGAAACAAAATTTTCTCAAATAATTTTAACCGCACAGCCACTCACCTCGCCAATGATCAAAATCCAACTGACCACACCGAACATGAGCATCTTGCCCGAAAGGTAGGCCTCGAATTTCGCCTGACAGCCTTCTCTGTAAATATTATCGACAATTTGGCAGTTGCGGTCCTTACAACACGTTCGTGGTATGTCGTGTTGGATGCGATGATAATCGTCGGTTCTGTTGACACCACAGCAGTGTAGCTAAATTAATAACAACAACAAAAGAAGCAACAATAAAAAATCAACAATAAACAATAAATGAAAATTTATTCAATTTGATTAATGTGTCGCTCTTTGTGTGTGTGTGTGTGTTTGTACATGTGCTAGTGCACTATTAATTATAATACGAAAAGGATAATAAAAGTGTCATCAACTTGTTTATCCTTTCCCCCCCTTGTCCACCTACACCTACCCAATCCTCATAATAGGCCAAAGCGCCGGGTGTTTTCTCTTCGTACTCCCACAATTCCTCAAAGCCATCGTGCACACTACCCGAGAGGCCATCCCTCGTGCCTTGTGAGGCCATTGCGGCCAAAATGAGTTGTAATAATATTAGCACTATTAAGCTGATGATGTACTGTAAGAGGAGTGTGGTAAAAAATTATAAAAATAAAAGTGCTAAGTTATTGTTAGCACGCTTGTAGCACATTTAGTTTACTCTTGGGTCTAGTAAAAAGTAATCCATTATTTTTCTTTATTTACAAAAATTATCAAGAATTATCGATAACTGTTTGCCATTTCGAAGCTAATGTCATGAAGCCTGTCTCTAATAGAAATCCTTCTTCATATAGGCAAAAAATGTGGGCAACCGTTTTTCAGAGGCTTTCGCTTGAGGCCAATTCCTCACCAGCCAAATCATTCGCCATACATAAAAGCAATTGGTGATCTCCTGGTGCGAGATCTGGACTATTTTTTGGATGCATAAGAACCCTCTCTTGATCCCTGCAGTTGGTCAAAGCTGGGCACTTTTGGGCAAAAGTTTCCTTCAGACGGTCTAATTGCTGATAGTCCAAATCCGAATTAAGAGTTTGGCGGTAGGAAAGTGACTCCTAGCGGATGATTTCTTGCGAATCCTACCAAACACAAATCAATCCGTCAATCCTTGCTTGGAGATCGTTTGTGCCGGTTCACTGCCCTTCGATTAAGACACTTTTTAACACCAAGTACTACCTTCTGAAGTGGGTTAATTTTATTACGATTCAGCAGCTATTTGCCGCTGGAAATTTGGTCAATGAGGTTTCTTCTCGCTAACTAATGGGGCTTCCATACATCGAGTTCCTTTGTGTATCCAGCCTTCTGCAAGTGATACCAAACTATTTTTTGTGCAATGTTTAGCTCCCGGGCGATCCAAGTAATGGCCAGACCCGACGATTACTATTATTCTATCGACATTTTTGAGAACTGGATTTCCACACCGTGGAAATCGATGAAACCGAAATTGTGCAAGACTGATTGTTACAGTATCAGGACCATAAAGGCTGCACATATTTTCAGCTGTGTGACTTGCGCTTTCGCCTTTGTCGGAGGAAGTTGTAGAACGTAGCGTTGTTTTTCGTTACAAGTGCCCATCTCTGACATACTCTACAGCACTACTGAGTTAATTAATCAATACTTCTACCATTAGCTTGTTAAGTACCAAATATCATCTTTCGAACGACATCTAGTATAATCCAATCGCACTTATAGAACTCGAGATACATTTGACTAAGGCCAATGATTTCAAAAATAATGGATTACATTTTACTAGACCTAATATATAAATATATGTATATGAATGTTATTTTTTATATTATTTTTTATATTATTTTTCAATTTATTGCTTACCACAACTAATTTCTTCCGTGCCTCGTGAATTGCCGCCAAACAACCGAATATTGATATTACCACAATAATAATACCCAAAGTGATTATCAGTCCGCCGGCTAAATTCTCTCCATGATCGATGTTGTTATTGGCAGCGGTCACCAGTACGAAAATACCAAATGCTATTAAAACAATGCCGAGTAGCTGAAATATTCAATAGATGTCGGTTTTATTTAATATTTAGAAATAATGTAAAAAAAAAATCTTCCAAAAAATATTATATAAACGAAATATGTACATGAGATGGAGTTTTATCAAAAACTATATCGGAATTATTTAGTATTTTCTAAGGCGGCATTTTAGATTGAATTATTATAGTAGAGTCCCAACCTAAGTGATTTCAGCTGTATCCGTTGTAATGCCTAAACACAAGCACCTACTTGAGTGTAAAACTTCCAACTTCAACTTTCTACAAATCTGCTCACTCCTTCTCAAAGTTTTATAAGTGGATCTTTTTATATAGTAAACCCTATAATAGACATAATGACATCTCGAGTTGCACTGATTGTACAACGACCGGAAATTTACCAGCCATATAAGGACATGAGATGGCAAAATTTTCGCTGATCTTCCTTAAATTACCCTAGAATAATGCAAAACAATCCCATCGACTTCATGTTCCTTCAGCATCATTTCCAAGTTTCTTGAAGGTAGCAAAATCTGACTCAAATGCATTATAATACCCCAGAATCCTTCAATATTATAAACCAAAAATTCGACAGAAAACCTCTTGATTGTACACTCTGCGCTGCAGGCGGTGTCGTGACTAATGGCTAGCGGGAGTAGGCGGCAGCTAATGAAAGACGGGCTATGCATCTATACTTCACTTTTTAGATCCTTGCTTAACGAGTACATGTGACAGAAGAGAGGAATTTGTATGCTCGGAAGGAAACCGCAACATCTGGGCTAGAGTATCGGCCCAAACGTCGCAGGAAGAAGTAGCTACTACCACCGGCGTTGGGAGAGAAAAAATGTGGATTGAATTATGGGATTACTTACTTACTTTACTGGCGTAGACAACGCTTACGCGATTATAGCCGAGTTAAAAACATTACACCATTCGTTTCTTCTTTTTGCCACTTGGCGCCAATTGGAGATACCAAGAACAGCCAGGTCCTTCTCTACCTGGTCTTTCCATCGGAGTGGAGGTCTTCCTCTTCCTCTGCTTCCACTGGCGGGTAGTGTGTCGAAAACTTTCAAAGCTGGAGTATCCTCATCCATTCGAACCACATAACCTAGCCAGTGTAGCCGCTTGATACGCTGAACTATGTCAAAGTCGCCATATAATTGAATTATGGTCATTGTAGCGAAATTCGCCAAAGCCCATATCTTTCTCTGGGAAAAATGTGGATGGCTCAAGAGCTTTAGATCTACCATCGGTGTTTACCCCATAGAAAACAGATGGAAAACGTCAGCATATACTGCTGATAAGCACACGCCCGAGAAGCAGAGGAAGTAGCAGATCAAAGCCACTCCATGTCTGCTTGGTTTCAGGCCATAAGAGTCTTATGGTTAAAGAAATATTGTAGATGTTGATATTGCACAAAGGTCATCCATTGGGTGACCAAAACATTATATACAATACGACAGCCGTTAAAAAATCTGTACAATGAAGTTACAGAGAAAACTGGAATGCAATGTTATAACTATTTGCAACAACGCCAAGATCATGTACAATGGAAGCGAAGAAAATCACAGCCAGTTTACCGTTAAAAGCCTTATGACAGACTGCGATCCATTGGCATCACTCGTGAGAAGAACGAGCACTGATAGCAGTGACACATGTGGGACTTGAATGGAAGCAGACATGAGCAGCAGACATGAGCAACTAGAAAAAATACCGTAAAATGATGTAAAAGGCAACCAGGTCTTTTGAAATGTTGTTGTAGAGATACGTATTGTCGCTTTCCTTAAGTTTAAAAACAAAGACGTTTTCAAAGTGACAAAGGTTTGACGAGAGGTTAGATTGTGTTTCTGCTCTTAGTCCTAAAAGCTCTCTCTGACAAGAACAAAAATACCATGAAACACGCTAAGCTATAAAACCCCCCGGCATTAATAGCCGAGTAGTTAGTAGAGCGTACTATCATTCGGATGGCTAGGGTTCGAGTGCCGGTCCGACAATCGAACTTTAAGATAATTGATTTTTCTAATTTCGTTCGGAAAAACTTCTCATAAAAACCATCGGCCGTTTGGAGGCGGCTTATAATGAACTGCTAACCTCAAAATTTTTTGGAAAACCATTAAGACATATACAAATATATATATTTAAAAACATAATATAAATATAATAAAAAATTTAGTAAAACAAAATGATTAAAAATTTAATTATAGCAATCTAAAAAAATACAATAAATAATAAAATAAAAATAAAGTAACATAAAATAGAATATACGAAAATAAAAACAAATAAAATTTAATAAAACAAAGCAAATACCAAATTAAAAATTAAACAAATAAATGAAAATTTAATAAAACACAAAACTGAAAAAAATATTCTGAAATCTAAATAAATATAATTTAAATTCAAATAAACAAAATCATTAAAACAAACCAAAGTTGAAAAATTTAATAAAATTGAAATAAAATTCAAGTAGAACAAAAATTAATATATTAAAATAAAGGTGGAAAAAAAAACTAATATAAATAAACATCAATAAACAGAAACAGATTACAAAAATTAGCAATAAATTAAATTAAACCAATTTAAATAAAAAATAAAATTAAAATAATATAAATTAAAATTAAATAAAGCAAACAAAAATTAAAATAAAAAAAAATAAAAAAAAAATTAAATAAAAAAAAATTAAATAAAATAAATTAAATATAAAATAAATGAAAATTAAATTAAATCAAAATAAAACAATACTTTATAAAGTAAAGAAATTAAAAAAATAAAAAATTAATAATATGGAATGAAATAAAAAATAAATAAAATAAAGGGAAACAAATAAAAATCAAATAAATAAAAATTAAATAAATAAATAGATAACATTTTTCGCATTTACTTAAATAAAATTAAATTACATAATAAAATAAAATTAGATCAAGTAAAATAACAATAAAATAAATTAAAATTAAACGAATTAACGTGAAGTGAAATAACTTAAAGGGGACAAAATAAGGGTAAATAAATAGTGGGTAATGAATTAAAATAAGAAATTTAAAAAAACAAAAAATAAGTTAAATTCACTGAAACACAATAAAATAAAATTAATTAAAACAAAGAAAAAAAGTAAACTTAATATATACAAAATATATTGAAACGTAATAAAATAAAATAAAATTAATTAAAATTATTTCAATAAAAAGCAATTAAATTAAACAAAATAAATTTTAATAAAGTCAAGCTTAGAAATACAAATACAAAGAAAAAATTAAATCGAATTAATAAAAACTATAAGAAGCAAAGTAAAATGAAATAAAATTAATTACAAAAAAAATTAATAAAAGAAAAAATAATATTCAAAGTAATTAAAAAATAAATAAAAAACTCGAAGCAGAAAAGAAGCCAAATACAAAAATAAAAATGATATAACATACATAAAAATTAAATGGATTTAAATAAAAAGAAATTTATTTAGAAAAAAGTAAAACAAAAATAATTATAAAGGTTTTTATAAGAATTTAAGTATACTCAATTAAATCTTAAAAAACACAAGCATTACATAGTTAAAAGCTTACTAAATGTATTCAGCTATGTGAACGACGGTGGCTTTTGGCGAGCTCATCACCCATTGCATTCGAAATCATAAAAAAATGTGTAAATGCAATTAACAAGTTATTACTCACCGTAAATATAAAATTTAGCAGCAACAACAAATGCTTCGCAGTAGCTTTACCCAAACCCATGCTTCTATATCGGAGTCACGAATTATTTATAAAAAAAAAACTCTATTTGTATTCAAAAGAATTTTAGAATTCTAGAATTGTCATTTAATCGTTGGTGATGTAATCGTTTTAACGCACTTTTGAATGAATTTAGACAAAAATGGTAAAACAACTAAGAATATTTTCAGTTATGCGCACGATAGTGAGGAATATGAAAAATATATTTCTCAAGCAACAGTTGTTATAGGCAACAAATTTTAATTATTTTAGAGAATTTTTAAAAATTGTTATACAAAAAATTCTTTTCTCAAATTTTTAATTATTGTTAATTAATAATTGCACACGTTTTTTACACTGATCTTTGAAGTAAAGTAACTAAAATATGCACACAAAATATAATACGTCTTAACACTTTTTCAAACCCTTCGCCACTCGTTACGCCGGTCTCAGCTCGCGTACGTTAACTGACTGAAAAACACTGCATTTGAAATTTAACAAAAAACCCACATACCTACACTACATATAATAAATATATTGTATATGTATGTAAAAACAATATATAGAATTTTATACTTCAATAATATTTTTATTTTGAAACGCTCATGCTAATATGCATTTGTATGTATATATGCATGTATGTTTGTATGCATAATAGTGTGTGGGCATATTCACTTGGTGGGGGAGATCGAACGTATGTAGCGAGTGAGTGGTTTTAGTTTTATATGTGAGTGCTTATGAAATGGAAATTCGGAGCATCTGCTGTGCGGGGAGTAGACCGTCAGCGAGCAACACGACCTCGCTCAGCTTCTACAAATACTATATGTACATAATACACTTTTACCGCTCAACTGTTCAGTGGCGTTTGCTATTGTTGTTGCTCTGATTTGTTGTTAAGTGACTGTTGTTATTTATTTGTTTGTTGTTGTTGTTGTTTTTTTTTTCTACTTGGCGCTGTCACCTGCTCTTGACGCTTTTCAACTGTTTCGCTAGCGGTTTGTTGACTTTTTTTTCGCTTTTTCAATTATCTATGTTTTGTTATTCTATCCGTTTTAGAATTAAAACTGATTTCAATCTCCTAACACCTGCTTGCTTCGATTTGAGTTTAAGCTTTTAAAAGTTGTTAAGATAATAGGTCACTAATACAAGTAAGGCAACAATAACATTTTATTTCATTACTCCCACTCTCTTTCTCATTTGATTTTTGATTACGTTTTATCATGATTTTTTATTAGCATTTCCAATTTAAATTATTATGGTTCTTTATATCGAAATTGCTTTTGTTTCATCTTCGCTTTTTTTTATGTTTCCTTTTCCCCCGAATTTTTCAGTATTTCTTTCTATTTAATTTCCTTTCCTTTTTTTTATTTTTTGCTTTTCTTTTGCGGCGGCTACTATTTTCATTGGTTTCGCTTTTATTCGCTCTGCGCACAGGTTGATTTTCATGGTCAGTTTGGATATTTTCTTTATTTATTTTACTTGACGTGATTTTGATTTAAGGAGACATGAATCATTTTTTCAGATGTCGTCACTCTTATTAATTTGCTTACACAAATAATGTTCAGTTTATTTTTTCTTATAAAGGGTGTTTCTTTTATGTCGGTAAGTAAACGCTGAATAAGTTTCACATTTCGCCAACCGAGCGATTGCATCAGATATGTTTTGGAAACGCCAATTCAGTACAATTTTTGCCATGGATCGCCTCACACTGGAACAACGCGCTGAAATAGTCACCCTTTACATCGAACTCAACGTGCATATCGGAAAAAATATCGCGGTTAAAAGGCACCATTTGACAGATCACCTGATTTAACCCGGCCGGACTTCTTTTTGTGAGGTTATCTGAAAAGCAAGGTTTACGCCAACCAGCCTCAAACTATTGATGAGCTCAAGGCAAACATTGGTGCTGAAATCGACGCTATAACAACCGAGATGTTCGGAAAGGTAATGGCAAAAGCAGAAAAAGGAGTCATTTTGTCATTGCTATTAAAAAATTAACCACTTGATTGAGATTGTTTTCAAAAACTAGTCCAAATGTGTGGGCATGAAGAGTTTGAGAAGCTAGCACGCAAGGGTAATGACTGAAAATTCTATGCATCGACTCAATTGGGAGGACTTCTTCGCGCTGTTCGGTACCAAACGCGATTTCAGGCATAGTGATTCTTTATTTTTTTTTTTTTTTCAAATTTATGTGGGAGACAATAATAAGAGCGGCGGAGCTGAATAGACAAGGTCCAACGAAAAATCTCTTGTCAACAGCTACAACTTTGGGCTGAGTAGATAATTAAAAAGCAAAATCCTCTTTCACTTACCATATCCGCTCTGCTTTATGGCTCTTTGTAACCATTGAAGTGATTTTTCGGCCGAGCTCGCCCTCCGATTTGTCGTTTTGCCTCTTGATGTTTTCCCAACAAATGACGGCGACTACAGTTCAAAATAAGCCGCCTTCGAAAGGCCGCGGCATTTATTTCATGTCGGAAATACACTGCGGAGGGAAATTAGAAAAATTAATTTTGAATGTTGTCCGAACCCTGGACTTCCGAATGCCGGTACGCTATGCTAACCATAGCTCACCCAATCAAGAGACTTTCGGCTATACTGGTCCGAATGGATGATGCATACTACAGCCTTAAAAGTATTCTATGCAGTACACTCAGGTGGAAGCAGTGGAAGTGTAAGACTCAAGTGAAGAGCTTCCGTTGGTATTTCCAACAGGCACCAAACAGCGAAGAAAGGAAATGGATGGCGCGCAATTTTGGATTCGATCAGACAATGAAAACGAAGGTGTCATCGCTTCCTTTCATGAAATTTTTGAAGCATTTCTCATGTCCTACAAATTTCCACACACTTCTTACTCACCCCTTACATACATCGGTCTGTCTCTTTCACTGTAAGCAAATGTCTATCGTTTCGCACCTTACTCTCGTTGCTTTTCCTACATGGCAAGCATCGGCTTGAGGTAGCTTTGCTGAAGGAAGTAGTTTGTCTACATTACCGTTAGCCGTGAAAGTATGCCATTGCAAGTCCATAATAAAATTTGTAAAATTTTGCGCCAAAACTTGACTCATTCTTTGATATATATTTACATGAGTATTTATTTATTTATTTTTTTTTTTTTGAGCTCTAGTATACAAATTTGCAAGTTTTTTTAACTTATAATTAAAAAACAATAATTTTAAATATTTATACAAGTATATAAACAATTTTCCTTTTGAAGATAATGTCGTTTGGCTTACAAAAAGAAATTAAATAAAATTCTAAAGAATAAATTGAGCTAATTAAACTAATAATTATTTGAAAAATAAATAAATTTATTACTGATTATTAAAAATAATAATAATGACTAAAAATAAAAATAATTAATAATTATTTAAAAAAAATTAATAAATTCAAATATTTAAATTTTCTTTTACTATATTAAATATAATATTTTAACAATACTATTTAGTGCAAAGGAACGAGATATTTGCATTTATGTGTGTTAGCAACTCCTATTACACATATTCACATACGTATGTATCTATGGCTTGGTATAACTCAATTGTAGAAACGTATACGATCGCGATAATTTCGGATGCTGTCGACCAAAATGCAAGCAAATACAGAGCCAGTAAACTGCAAGAAGGACATTATTGTTGTTTTAATAAAGAATTTAAAGCATAATAAATATACGAGAAACGCGTGTAATTACCTCCGTCAAAATCAAACACCAGCTGATTATATTGAAACTGCTCGTCTTGTCACTCACATACTCGCCAAATCTCTGCTCACAACCGATCACATAAAGGTTCAATACATTCGTACAATCCCGGTAGCGGCAGCAACTCGGTGGTGGGATTTTATCCATGAGAAAATAGTCGTTGGCGCTACTTTTGCCACAGCATTGGAGCTGAAAGTGAAAAAAAATCGTATTAACAGACTGTTGTTGGTTGGTAACAGTGGTGGTAATGAATATGAGATTTTTATTTAACTTTGAAGTATTGTCATGTGATACTGAGAAACAGTGGTGGCAAAGAATATTAGGTTTACTTCTCTTTAAATTTCTAAAGTATGTAATGTTTATACCAGATTCTGGTATGTAATTAGTAATTATTATTTTTTTAATGTTAATAATTATTTATACAATAATTTTTAAAATCAAATCTTACCCACTCTTCATAGAACGACAAAGTTGTATTTATATTCGTATTAGATTTATCCCAAAGTTCATCGAATCCTTGTTGTAGGCCGCTAGAAAGACTGCCACTAGCCGCTGTATAACTAATGCTCACCAAAAATATTTGTATGACCAATAAAATTACTAAAATCACAGCATACTGTAAAGAATTTAATTAGAGGTATGAGTAATTATATGTTTAGAAAGGAAATAATTATAATAGCGAAAGCTCTGCAGCAAGCAATTTCTTTATTTCGAAAAAAAACTCAGTCCATGTACTAGATTTTTTCTCTTTGTTACATTTATTAACCCATTTTATTAATTTTATTTTATTAATTTTATCAAGCTCAAAACTGTGGTAATTAATCCAAAATATGCCTAAGTATTTTTTTTTCATATCAAAATATTAAAAACTTTCCAGTATATGCAAGAATAAAATGAAGAAAAAATTTAGTTTTAGTTATTAAAAATTTTCTTTTAGTTTCTAATTTTTTCAGTTTATTTATCGCTTCTCTATGATCTGCTTAACTCATATTTCCAGCAAATAAAAATTTAAATATTTCCAAATTATTTTATATTTTATTTTATACTAGCAGATCCAGTCGAACATTTTTGAGACTTTTTGTATTTAGTCCAATTTTTTTTCACTTATGTAGCAGGAAACAAAAGTATTTTATTTAGGCCTATCATCCACGAATTTAATCTCATTATCTTAATATGTGTATTTTTTCCAAAAAAAAAAAAACACCGTCCATTTCCCATAAAAACCAACTTCATATACGGTTTTTTCGAATAGGCTGGTGCCTTGTCCAGATCTCGGACAGAAGAGGAATATTTCTGCTTATCTTAGTAAAGAGCCACCAATGTGTCGAGTTTCAAGTAAATCGTACCGTAAATACGATTTTTTGAATAGGACATTCCCTGGCCTAACCTAACTAACGAACCTTTTCAAGAACCGTAAAAAAAAAGTAACAAATTTTCAGTATAATTATTATTTCAAGTTAATAAATTTCATTTAAAAATCGTAAACTATGTTAATTTTCCAAACTTTCTCTCTCTTTCAAAAAATGTACATGAGAAATATGTTAAAAAGAGGAAGATCCGAGTATTCCATATGTGGCATCACGAATATCACTTGCAATCCTCTAGTTGAAATATATTTAAAAAAAAGTGTCGCTTCTGCTACCGCCACTTCCATACTTCATTTCTTCTTCGAACCAAAGTATAAAGAAACACTTGTTTAAATATTGTCGCCGAAATATGTTTTTATAACTTAAAAAAAGTTGTATTTTATGTGAATTTCTTGTGAATAGTTCGGCATGATTATTAAATGGCCCTTTGGTGCAGTGGATAGCACATTGGACTTCTAATCCAAAGGTCGCGGGTTCGATCCCCGCAAGGGCTCTTGTACTTTTGCTGTACTTTTTTTTTTGAAGAAACTCATTACACTTATGGAGCTACATATCTGCAATCTCTTCCTGGGTCGAAACAAAATTCTCCCAGCGCTATATTTCTCACTTGTTTGTTTATGCTCATTTAGTTAATAAAATCTTAATATTTATTATTTACTAATTTATCATTTTTTACTTACACTTATCAACATACTCTTAGACTCCATATAAGTTGCTGTACAACCGAATACCGACATTACAAGCAACACCGTGCCGAGCACCGTAATTACGGTGGCGATCAGAGTTTCACTATTATCCACATCAACTTCGGATATATTACTATATAACCATGCTCCGAACCAAATCAATATTACACCTGTTAGCTGTGGATAGAGGAAAATGAAATAAAATATGTTAAACTTAATGATAATAATAAAAATTGTTCAAATTGAGCTTGATATTAATTTATTTAGAAGTAAGAAAATACATAATTTTTTAAGCTCTTAACTTAACTTAATCTCTTTAAACTAAGAATCCAATTATGAAATTTTCTAGCCTTTTGAAATAAGTTTACGTCATAAAAGTCTGCCACAATTATTTAAGAAAAGTCTAATAATGTCTGAATATTATTTATTTATTAATAAGGTTTGGTACTGAACTGGTTTTCCATATTAAAGTCTCGACGTTTCTTTGTGTTTCATACCAATAATGTATACAATATCCGGTTAGAACACCTGTTTAAACAGTTATGAAGAAAATAAAAAAAGAATCCTACAGCTGTCTGAGTACATTTTTAGTTTTAAACAATATTTTGCTTAGAAATTTTTGTGATAAAATCATTATATAAACGGCCCTTTGGTGCAGTGGATAGCACATTGGACTTCTAATCCAAAGGTCGCGGGTTCGACCCCCGCAAGGGCTCTGTGAGAAATTTATTTTGCAGAAGTTGGTAAAATGCGTTGACATCTGCTTTATATGCCCGACGATGGCTTAATACTATTTCGAACAGTATTTTTGTTTTCACGTTTTTATTGACAAAATCTCTGAAGATGAGCACATCGTGTTATATTGTCTAAGGTAGCTTATTCCCTGAACTTCATACCACATCTAATCGGGTTTTGTACCAATTGACTTTCAGAAGATCCGTTACAAAAATTATTATTATTCCAATCTCAATAGCGCTGCCATTACTGTAGAAATGTAAGCTTTTTGCAAAGCTTCTTCTTACAAAAGCGCTTTTAATAAGCTTACCTTATCATTAACGGACTAACAATGTTTGCACAAGCCATTTTTTATTTAAATATTTTTTCGTTTTTCATATGAAATTGAAAAAAAGCACAATAAGGGAATTTCAAATGAAAACAATGTGAAAGAAAAATGTGCGATTCTCCCCTTAAAACATTGAAGAGAAATGCAAAAAGTCAGAAAGGAAAATATAAAAATGGTATGCAATAAAAATTAGCAGAACGAAATGAAACAATAAATATTTTGCAACTTATTTTTAAACAGACACATGCTATATATGACTAATTAATGTCAACAGTGGCTACTTATGCGGTGGCTCAACTGAGCCAAGAGCCAATAGCCAAATTGGCAATGCAAATGGTGAAAAAGTGAAAATATTTTATTAGCTTAAAAGAGACGCAATTAAATGCAGTACGAGTATGTAGAGGGAATACATTGTTTTAAAGAATTAGTATATGGGTGTATGTGTGTAAATAGAGGAAATGCACTTTTTCGCCATTGAGAAAACTCAAGCAACTACGTAAATCACATAGAATTTCCATTCATTTAGTTATAGCATAATATTTTAGTATAATGTATATTTTATATTATTAGCAAATAATAAAATTCTTTTATAAACTTTTTTTTATTTAATTAAATTTTTTTTTTTGTATCGTTTTGTTAGGCTTTTTTTTATCTTAAATTATTTTATTTTCTATATATAAATATATATATATATTTATTTCTTTTCATAATTTATTTTACGTTTTCTTATATTTTATTTTATGTTACTTATTAAAATTTATTTAATATTTTTATTTAATTTCTTTTTTAAGACATTTTATTTTTTATATTATATATGACTTTTGTACATAATTTTGTTATATTTCTTTTTTCTTTTTTTGTGTATATATATTATATATCCATTTTTTTTGTAATTATTTCATGTTATTTTATTATGTTTTTCTTTTAATTATTTTATCTTAACCTAGTTTTTGTATTTAATTTTTATATTTTAAAAGTATTTTTCTACAATTAATTTAGTTTAACATAATTTCACTCCTTTCAGTTATTCATTTTTATTTAATTTAATTTTTTTTATATAACTATTTTTACATTAAACTGCATGAATTGAATTTAACATCTTTATTGTCTTGTCGAGTCCTATTTTAATATATTGGGTTTTATTTAGTATTTAATTTCATTTTATTTTATTTTACTTTGTTTTATTTTATATTTTATTCTTTTAACTTATTTTAAATTTCAATATTTTGTTTCTTTTTTATTTATAATATATTTGTTTTAATTTAAATTAGTTCAATTAGGTTAAATTTTATTTTTTTTTCGTTAGTATTTTTAATTTAAATGCATAGTTATATTTTTAGTTTTAGTTTTATTTTTCAATTTATTTTCTTAGTTTGTTTTATTTTATTTTAGTCATTTAATTTTTCTATATATTATTTTATTTTATTAATTATTTTATTTTTAATTTATATTATTATTTGTTTTTAATTTATATTTCTTATCCCTCTTTTATATTATATTTATAATTTATTTATTTTACATATTTCTTTTTTTAATTGGTTTAATTGCGTTTTACATTTTTTATTAACTTATTTTAGCTTATATGTTTTATAATAAATTATAATATTTTTTCATTCACTATAATTTTTTTTAACTTCTTTTATTTTATTTTATATTATTGTTGCAAAAATTTATTATTTTGTTCTTTTTTTATTTTTATTTGATATTTTTTTCCAGTTTCATAATAATTTTTATATGTCCTTTTATTTTCTTTTTATTTTTTAATTTTTCTTTTCATTTATCTTTTTTTGCAGTATTTTGATTTCAATCTTTATTATTTATTTTGCCATTTGTTAATTTTTATTTATTTTGTTATGTTAATTTTTTTATTTTATATATCTTTATTCTACTCTAGTAAGTTGTTGTGGTTATATTTTACTTCACTTTGCTTCGTTTAATTTATTACAGCTTAATTTAATTTAGTTTTTTTTATAAATATTAAATTTAAATTCATTTTATTTAATTTTTTTAGTTTTATTGAATTAATTTAACTAATTAAATTAAATTCATCTTCACTTTAATAATTTGATTGTGAAACTTTTAGTTTATTTTATTTGATTTTTAAATATATTGTTTAATTTTTTTTATATTTTATTTGATATAAATTTATTACATTTTAATTTGAAATTATTTTTTTTTAATTTTTAATTTAATTTATTATCATTAAATTTTTATTTTGGTTGAGTTTGTGTTTCTAATTTATTTATTTTGAAAACTTTACTAAATAATTTTCGCATTTCTAATACTTATTTAGTTTGATTAATTTTCTTATTTCTAAATACTCACAGCACAAATCGCATTGAATACGAATAATGTGAATTTCAGCCTCTTTTTGGTGCAACGAAACATTGTTTGAAGGTCGATAAATAAATTGTATCCGTTTTTAGATAAATTTGCTCCTTTTTCTCGTTTTTTTCGTTTTTTTTCTTTTTTAAGAACTTGAAATTTTTTTTGTATTCAAAACTTCAACACTCCTTTAGCCGTTATTAAAATAATACTGCTCTTATGGAAATTATAATTTTATATATTAATGTAAATATGCACAATAATTAAAAATAAATTTCAATTACACAATAGATTCTTCCGAATTCCTTTACGCTAAACACAAACACCATTCAATATAAGATACAAATTCACAAAAACACTGTTATGCACTGAATATCGACACCGGCGAGAGGCGCATCCGTAGCCACTTTCGAAACACGTTCGCATAGCATTCAAAACTAAAACGACAATAAGCAGCAACAAAATGCCAATGTGGCCCTGATGATATTCTTTCTGCTCTGTTTTGCTATTTTGTATACCTTTGCAGAGCGATGAGCTCAACGATGACAAAATTTTCTATCTTCATGTCATAAGAAAAATACAAAAAAAAAGAAACCAAAAAAAAAAAAGAAAAACACTTCTAATTGCTAATAATTCTCTTTTGTATGTGTTTTCTGCTTCCCCTTTTCGGTTTTGGCGCGCGCATTTGTTTTTATGGTAAATGAAATTGTTGTTAAAATTGTTGCTCTAGCTCGTCTCTTTTTTTTTTGTTAACAATAAATTGTTGCTATATTTTTTCACTCTTCTTTATACACTCTGCAAGAGCAGAGTTTCCCAAAATAAAAAAAAAAATAAAAAATTTAAAATACAACAAAAAAAAACTTTGCTCGTTTTACCACTGACCACTAAACTGCAATAAAAATTGAGAAAACAAAAAATGAAAATTTACATATTGATAAAGCAAAAAAAAAAAAGAAAATCAGAATGTCAAAGTGAAAACGAAAATCTTTATGAATTTTTAAACGCCAACTAAGCAACAACTGCGCCTACGCACTCAGACTCCGATGACAGTCACGGTGTTGGCAGCAGCGCTGCACTGATTTTATGATCGGAAATTGTGGTCTGACCAAATCGCCTTAAAGGCCAATATCAACTAGATTAAATGCAATACATACGTACGGGTATGTAAATAGTTGACAGCATGAAATCACATCACAGTATTCGTTGCACGCACATAAATACATACATATGTGCGAGTATGTATGTACGTTAATACAAACATACTTTTACTAGTGGAAATCTCTTTATAAACATTTTAAAATTAACTCAACGGTCTGCTGTTTAGTTTTGAAAATAAAAAAAAATATATATATATACATATATGTGCTTTAAAGCAAATAAACAGTTTTGCGGTTTTGAAAAGTGAGCACAGAATTCATACTCAGCAAACCTTTATTTACTTTACTAGATTCGGCCGCAGATTGCCTTTACTTTTCACTTTATCACTGTCCATTTGCACAGCTATATTCACATTGTAATTTCATTAGGGATTATCTCTTGTCCTTCTTGGCGGGATGATTGGGACAATCGATTTTCACAGGATTCTCTTGAGATCAATTTTTCACCAGCCAAATCATTCGCCACATACATAAACAGATGGTAAACACTTAGTGAGAGGTCTGGACTATAAGATGGATCCATAAGCACCTCGCAACCAACCGTACTTAGCTGCTGGAGAATCGAATCACTACCGACATGTGTGGTCTGGCGCGCTCCTGCTGAAACACAATTCCCCAACTGTTGACCAAAGCTGGGCGCTTCTGCGGGTTTGCTTACTTCAGTTAATCCAATTGTTGACAGTGCAAGTCCGAACTAAGAGTTTAACCGTAGCACAGCAGCTCATAGTGATTGAAACCTTGCCAATCGGACCAAACACACAACAAAACATTCATGGCAGTCAATCCCGGCTTGGAAACCATTTGGGCTAACTGACTACCTTTACGACTATTCGTTTGTCGTTGATCCACTTGTCATCACCAGCCATCATCCGTTACAGAAATGTGTCGAATATGTTACGATTCAGCTGCGACTCTCAAGTGGAAATTCGGCTCATGAGGTTTTTTTCTCGTTAATTCAAGTGGCCATGACCCATATATCGAACTTCTTTGAGCATCCAATCTTTTTCAAGTGATTCCAATTTCATTTTTGTGCAATGTTTAGCCCCTGGGCAATCGAAAGAATGCTCGTATGACGGTCGGCAATTGGCCTACCACATGGTGCAGCACGTTTTGCATCAAAATGACCAGAACGAATGAAAAACCAATTCGAAATTGTTCAGGATTGACTGTTACAGATCAGGTTCATAACAACTATTCACGTTTACAGCTGCATGACTTGCATATTCTCTCTTTGCCTGGTACCTTTTTTTTTGGGTACAAAATATCGCCTTTCTAACGCCATCTAGTAATCCAATCACACTAGTAGAACGATACAGATTACTAAAGCCGTTTATTGCAAAAATAATGGACTACTTTTTACTGAGCCTAGACTGGCATAATATATATGTATGTCAGGCATCAGATAATGCCTAATCAAAAACGCTGATGCTACAGGCGCAACTATGCTACGTGTATGCTCTGCTGTGCAGGCAATATCTGCTACGTTGCCACCGTCGGGTAGGGTATTCTCGTAAGTACAAAGATATCTTCGTCGTCCAAGAAGTGCGAGATGACGAGTAGGTCCTGGTGACATTTACTTCAGCCGCCACATAAAATAACGCAAGTTTGGTTACTAATTCGTGGTTTGGAAAGAGACTCCGACACACAATTCTCCAGCAAATCACTGATTTGGGCTTTGAGCAAGAAGGCCTTTTTTGAACGCTTGGAGCATACTTATGAACGCTGCCCCCGCCACGATGTCAAAATTGTGCTTGGCGATTTAACGCCAGGGTGGACAAAGGCGGAATCTTCGTCACAACTGTCAGAAAAAACACAAAAAAAAAATGCTGAGGCTAAACACCTTCACCAAGACCCGAAGTATGGTTGTCTGTATTACTAGATTGCAGCACAAGAAAATCATTGTTTGTCACCAGATCAAAACACTCCCAATCAGACCACAATCCCAAGTAAGCTTCGACGATGAAAAGCTGCAATCATAGCAGACACATGAACGACTTCCTATTCGACTTGCACCGTGGGACGGCGTTTTAGACGCCCTATGTACTCCCTGCAAACGAAACTGCTGTTCGGTTTTCGAAAAGGAAGAAAAAAAGAAATGCTGCAGTGAATAGAAAACAGGATGACTATTTCACGATGTTGGGATGGACTCTTAAATATGCGCTGGGGTATCGGTACCGATAATTGAAGAGGACAGCGCGGTATATGTACAGACAGAAAAGAGGGAGGAGATGCGTGAGTATGAAGGGCGTGAGGAGCTAGCCCGCAGGGGTAATGCTCGAAAGATAAGGCGACTTACGGTAGGTTTCAAGACCGGAGCAAACTCTTGTAGACCACAAAGCGCTGATCTGGCACTGGCACTTGACGAACAACAAAGCAAAACGGACTGTGCAATTGTCGGCCGAGCTATTCAAATGTGACGGCGAAGAAATGAACCACAAAAAAAGCTTAAAATCATTAAAGGCTGTGTAAAACTCTACACTTATTTATATTTATAAAAATTCTTTAAAATACTATAAAGCAACAGATTTTTTTTTCGTTTTTTGTCGGTATTTTATTTATTTTTATTTTTGATGTTTTACTAAATAATAAAAGCTACATAAGTGCTTAGGCACATATTTGTGTGTATGTAAGTTATTTTTCATTCATTTTTCAATTTTTTAACAATTTTTTTATGTAACAAAAAATTTAAAACTATTTTTTACAAAATTTATTTTCTTCGTTAATCGTTAATTGTGTATGGATATTGATTTGTATAGTTTGTACGAGTAAAACTTCACTCTCTTCTCTATGGAAATAATTCTTATTGTTATACTGTTATTTGACATGCATATTTTTTATTAATTACATTTATTAACGACTTAAACTAAGGTTAAAAACAATACAGCGAATAATGCATAAGAAATACATTGTAGGGTGCTTTTTTCCAGACATGTGGTTTTGCAATGAGACGTGCTGTGTCCAATATTCGGGCGACATAATCGCCGAGCAAAATGGGTGATACGAGCGACCACGAATTCGTTTCGCGGCGCGTTCACTTTAGTGGGTAATGAGCATGCTCAGAGATGCCGTGCAAAACTGCTGTGAAGCACAGTATCGAAGAACACCCGAATGAGTTCACTTTGTGGAAGATTTTGCGGGAATATCTTGGTTTGCGGACTTACAAAATGCAATTCGTGGGCAAATTGAAGACTCTCAAATCTGTCGCACATCCGGTGAATGTCTCCAGACCGAGATTGATTTTTCCAAAAAAAATTTTGTTGACCGAAGTAGCTGACTTTTGGTTGAATGGGTACCTTGAAAGGCAAAATTGTGGCGTTCGGAGTGTTGATAATCCACCATCCGCTTTTGAGACACCGTTACATCGCCATAAAGTCACTGTTTGGCTCTATGTGCAAAGGGAGTTATTGGTCCATAGTGATACAGTCCATCAGGAAAGCTACAGAGTAATTTTTTTCCAAAATTTTTTCATGCCTGCACTGGAGTATGTTGAAATGGATGACCTTTGGTTCTGGTATAATGGCGCTACATGCCATACAGCCAACGAAAGCATCAATCTATTGAGGGAAACTCTTGGTGAGCGCATTACATAGGTCGAAAAGCTATGGCATGGCCTCAAAGATCATGAATTATTTTTTGTGAGCTTATCTAAATTCGTGTAGCTACGCAGATAAGTCCGAGATGACTGACGCCTTGAATGAGAATATTCGTCGAGTTATTGCTGACGTATGGTTCTAAAAGTCGAAAAAGATGGTAAAAAATTGGGCCTGTCGGCTGGAATTTATTGTTTACCCGAAGTAATTTTTAAATCGTAATATCTTCATAACAAAGCTAGATTCTTAACCATACCATTAAATTATATGCTTTTTATTTCTGCCTGAAAACCACATGTCTAAAAAAACACCCTTTATATACTTATACTTATTTAAAAAATAAAGCGACATTACTGCTGCTAATTTGCATACATATATTTATTTATTTTAAATTGTTTATTAGTTTTCAATTTTAAAATTTTTATTGCAACTTTTTTTAATTTAAAAATTTTTTTTAATAAAAATTCTTTATTTTTTAATTTTTTTTTTACACAAAATTCACTTCCGATTGAACACCTTATTTGGCACTATCATTTCGTTAGAGCGCGAAAATTTTTCAATAATTTTCGTTTATTTAAATTTCATTTTAAATACATTTGTATGTGTGTGTTTGTTATTTATCAGCCTGATATTGTATTTCCCAGCTAAGCTGATTGTGGTTTGAGCTGCGCTTTGCGAACAGTACGTGAGTACATATATATATATATATATATACATAATTAGAAGCTTAGCTAATTTATGAGCATGTTGAGGTAGACTAGCAAAATGAATTTCATAATTTTTCTTTTTTCTTCTCAGCGATAGAACAAACACTCTTATACATTACCGTTGTTTGCAAAGAAAAAAAGATTGGCTCTATATGTATTAAATAGCAAAAAAATTAAAAAAAAATAAAATGAAATATAAAATACATCGATTGGTATGTACAAGTATGTACGTTTTTTAACTGCATTTACATATTCCTCTCTATATGTAAGCGTATGTATGTATGTATATTTGAATGTGAAAATATACAAAAAAAAAATTCTTTGGCCTTTATGCGCATTTAAATTAATCACCTTCCAAACTGCTTATTTGGGATAGTATTTCGAGCGGCGCCAACGATTCACAATGCTATTTGCCAAGACCCAAGCGAAGACAGCACAAATCAGCTGTAAATAAGGCAAAATAAAATGATTTATAAAACAATTTATTACACAACAATAATATGTATAATTTATTATTAAATTATTATTTATAGAAAAAAAATCAGATTTATTTATCGGTGAAGTTTAAGGAAATTGAAAAATAACAACAAAAAATAGGAGTAAAAATTAAAAAAAAACAAATGAACAAAACAAAAAAAGAAGTGTCTTCGGTCATGCCGAAGTCTTTATACCTTTCGTAACTATATCAAATTTAAGGCATTTCATTTTAGTATTGAATATTTGTTCGCTTATTCACATACGTCTGAAGATTCGGTTGTATGGAGGCTATGTGATATAATCTTCCGATTTCGATGACTTTCGGCGAAAATATTTATTTGAGGATGTGAATACAGAATTCCCAATTTCATGTTCTTAGAATCTTTTTTGACGCAGTTGTGACCTAAAACCTCATATCTGAACCAACCGGATGTAAGCGGGCTATAGACAATTGACGTCCAATTTCCATGATTCATGGCGAAAATATTTATTTGAAGATGTGAACACAAATTATCAACTTCCATGCTATAGATACTGTTTTGACGGATTTTTGGCCCGAAACCTCATATCTGCACAAATCGGTTGTATTGGGGCTATGTGATATAGTCAGCCGATTTGTAATTTCTTATATGTGTGCGGAATACCAAATTTCAACGCATTAGTTACGTTTTTGACTGATCAATGACCTAAAATCTCAATCTGTAAATCTCTATATATGCATATATCGGTCCAGCCGTTGCCGACAAACGATCGAACAGACTATCAAATGGTTACGGCTAAATCAACTCAAAACGTCATTCTGATCATATTGGTATAAATTTCGATGCGTCTATCTTCTCTAAAATTTCATTCATACGCTTGAAGGTTATACAAACCCAAAAACAAAAAAAAAATGTCAACCAACCAACTCACTTACCTCAACACACACCAAACCGATAGAGAAGTAATTAAATGCCTCCCAACGTTCGGAAAAATAATCGAGTAGCTTTTGCCGGCAACCTTCCAGGTTAAGCTTGTCCGTGTCGCTGTTGTAACAGCTATGTGGTGGCAGCATGTAGTCGCTAGAGCCGGCACGTCCGCAACAATCGAGCTAGGGTGTGAAGGTAGTGGAGAAAAAATATTTTAAAATAAATATCAGTTTATTTTTTTTTTTACTTTTTTACTACTTTTTAACAAACACTAAGTATACATATAATTTAAAAAGTCTCTGCGGTATATTTTTAAATTTTTAAACAAAATTTTTCTTTCTATAAATTTATTTTTTTTATCGTTATCTTTGAAATTTTGCCACTGTTCGGCTAGCTTCCGAAATTCCATCAGTACAGAACTTCTGTGATTTATCGACAAAGAACTTGGTCAAAAGATTCTCAAGGGCTCTTCTGTGGATCATTTTTTTCCTCATAAAGAGAGTTTTGCAGCGTCCGAAGCAAATGATAGTCAGATGGTGCAAGGCCTGAGCTTTATTGGTGAGTGAAGCAAAACTTCTCAACGAAACTTGGTCAATTTATAGCTGGACAGCATAAAATCTATTTATAGAGCTCATTTCTGAATGCTTTCCTGCAAAGTGAATGGGTTAAGCTAAATAGTTACAGACAGTAGAGCTCATAATTGTCTACTTCGACAGATTGCAACAGCTCATAGCAGACTCTTTCCTTTCCACCATAATTCCAGCATCAAATTGTGGCTTTGAAGTCGTTTATGTAGGATCATCGGTTTTTGAATTTTATTTTCTTTTTTATTTGTTTTATATTCTCGTATTAAACCCCATCTTCTACTCCAGTGATGAGTCGCTTCAGAAAAAGTTCGATTTTGTCGTGTTTCAAAAGCATTTCACTGATTGTATTCAGTGCAGTTTCTTTGAGTGAGTTTTGCCCAATGCCTTTGCCATTTCCAAACCGTGGCAGAGGTAGCGTGCAATAGACTCTCCCTTTTCTGCATCCCTGCACCTGCGGCAAAAATCTTTAAAGTGTTCTCACAATGTTTTTCCGTGAAGCCTGGTGTTATGATAATGGAGCAACGGTCTTGAAGGATAAGATGTCTTTACCACGGCTTTATTGCATTTAATCGAGTTTATTCAGGTTGCTTTTGCATTTTTTAGTCTCTTTTGATATGCAGTTTTTACACTGTAGAGATCTGTTGGCAGCTCGACTATCGGTATGTATGGTAGCTGATAGTCCTGCTACCGTAGACTTGAGCCGCCACCGGGAGCTTTCCATGATTGCCAAGAGTCCCGCTTGGAAGACGCTGCCGTGGTCTTGTAGTCTTATGCTCATATTTATTGAAAGCAACGGTGAGCGTATACCGCAGCCCGCACTTCTATCGAGTTTTGAGCCCTCCTTAAATATGGCTATAATACCCCAATCGAGGGCGTTTGTATTTTCCTTTTCGTTTCCATTTAGGATTATTATGGAGAAGGTATTGTCAAAGCACATACTAGATGGTGTAATGCGAATCGCCTTCGGTAAATCTGTTAGAGTTCATATTTTAGAGTGTTGTATACTGCATTTCGATCAAGGTTGAGTTGCATTCAATCTGACTGCGTTGGAATGCGCTGGTAATTTGTAAATTGCCGTACAACCCCTGAGGAAGGAAGTTGAGGCGAGTGCTGCTGATTCGAGGATAGCCTCCGACCATTGAGGTCCATCTACTTTACTCCCTATAGCAATTTTCTCGTGTTTCGTTTACTATACAATTATACTACAGAATGGAATCGGTCTAACTACATATATAATTGACGCCTTGTAACCGCTGACGCGATTTTCCGGTCGAGCTCCTCCCCCAATTTGTGGTTTTTCGTCTTGATGTTTTTCCAAAAAATGGAGGGACCTGCAGTTTATACTAAGCCGCCTCCGAACGGCTAAGGGTTTTTTTTACGAGGAGCCTTTATTTCATGTCAGAAATACACTCAGAGGGATTGACATAACCTACCGAGGGGCAGGGGCACTGGGATTTCAACTCGAGCCTTCGGAATGTCAGTACGCAATGCCACCCACTCGTCTACCACATATTCGCTTGCCCGTAAAGTGCAGTTATAATCTTCGTCGACCTGCCTGCTATGCTCTGACTCCAGTTGAGTTTGCTATCTATGTTTATCTTGAGATATTTTACTTCTGTAGGAAGCATGACTTCCACTGACTTTAGTTGAGATGGCTTAAAGGTGGGCGGTTTGCATCTCCTGGAAAGTAAGACCATTACGGTTTTTTTCTGGTTTGATATCCCATTCGCTGCCTTGCGCCAGTTCCCTACTATGTGTAGGGCGTTTTGAAGCCGATCTCTAATAGTTTAAGGGTGTTTATTGCTTCGGAAATTAAACACATTTTCAAATCAAAATACCTTTTCATACGAATGACGATTTACGGAAGTTTCTTAGCAAAAAAGATTGCTTGAAATGTCAATATTAAAACTTGGGTTAGCTTAGCACAATCCAATTTGTGTTGCTCGAGATACGAGTATCTTTACCATATACTGACAAAAACGGTGGAGACTTTTAAATTATTTAATTAATTAATTTTTTTCCCACAAGTCTTCTAATTTATACTCACCCATCTCTCAATGTTCGCTATATGACTACTGTTACCCGGTTTTAACGGCAATGTGGGATGACCCCATGACTGATCGAAAGTGCTTTCGATATTGATCATTATTTCATTTGCGAATATCCAAAAGAAGCCAACTGCCAGCGTTTGTAGTATAACCCATACGACTAAAATTATGGCGAACTAATCCATACACGAGCATAACCAAAATGAAAGGCAAGAAGGCGGTGACATTGAAATTTAAAAACAAAAAGAGAAATAACAATAATTAGTATAAGGCAAGTACAGGAAAACAAAAGAAAATATAATAATTCTTACGCACAACAATTACTGCCTGTGCTTACTAATGTAGAAATTTACTTACGGTTTTGGTTATCCGACTGCTTTCATGTGCCGCACCGAGTAAGCCCAAAACAGCGGTCAAGATCACTACAAGACCCAAACCGGGTGTCACGTAGCCGATCGTGCTGAAATACTCAAGCGTCAATAGGACATACAGACCAATGCCAAGGATTGCCAAGCCAAGGAGCTGAAGTGAGAATATATAAAAAATATTTGAATTCATAATATTAATAAATCAAGTGAGATCAATAAGAAAGGCCTGAGTTGGAACTAACTAAAAAACGAAGATAATGGCAAATAATTATATCTTAAATCAAGCGAGAGTTCCAGAGCAAACTGCCTTAATAGCATCAAAATCAATAACCTTATCGGTTTTGAAATCCAACCCAAAATCAAATGGCCTACAAATGGAGGGACCTACAGTCTATTAAAAACAATTTTATTCATAAATAAATACGAGAGGGAATCTGCTGACTGCATTTCCAAGCTTATAGTACTGGAAAATTAAAAGGACTTTGAGAAAACCAATCAATACTCACTCATCTCCCTTGAACATTCTCTCTTCAAGTTCCATGCAGCTTATCGCTTAGCCAAACCAACATCTACAGATATGTCGCAGGTAGACTAGACTACAATAATTATAATTTCTACCGAGGGAAACACACATTGGGGTGGATCTTAAGAAAATTTTCGGAGTAGGAATCAACCTTAAATTCTGCTTGAAACCCTAGTAAGCAGAATTAAAAAAATGGAGCCGCATGAAGTGACCTTTGTCTTACTCAAACGTTTTTCTAAAATTATACGAAAGTTTCGCATTTGATATTTCGTGTAATGCAAATAATCCTTTCTTCAAGCCAGCCTTTCGCATAGTGAGCTTCCCGCCTTTTGTGTATGTGTATTTGCATCGATGATCGTCTTAAAAAGGAATCCTCGGAAGAAAATTTTGTCTGTAATCAACGTCCGGTAATCCCACTTGACGTTATGGGCCTGCATAATGCTGCTTATGCCACTGCAGGAATACAAAAGGTGTCCGAATGGAAAGTAATTCAGAAAAGACGGCAAGACCAGACCACCAAGCAATATTAGAGTCGGTGGCGATGAACTCGTATTGCGAATTCTTTGGTCCTCCCAATCACTATATTGAAATAGCCGACCATAAATGTGGCTATCAAATGTCTCCGCTCAATGGTGTTCTCCGAAAGCCGCAATCATATCTTTTCAGGTAGCATTAGGAGCCCTGGATTCTGTAGCAGTCAAATCGAAAACCGTAAAATCTCCTAACGTATTGATATACACCAGTAAAGAGAAAATACGGTATAATCTACAATTTTTCTTCTTCTTCAAAAAATGCTTATGAACCTGATACTGTAACAGTCTTATCATGCACAATTTCGGTTTATCACTTAAGGCATTATTGAACGAAAGAGGTTGTGGTCAAAGAGCAGTGAGCCGGTACTAATGGTCTGCAAACCAGGATTGGTGAGCTGGAAGAACCTTTTACGTGTTTGGTCGAATTGGCAGAAATCGTCCACTATGAACTGCTCCTCTATGGTCAATCTTTAAAACTAGAAATCGAATAATTCCCATGGCAAAAACAATTGGTTACGTTTTCATAGTAATAAAAACTAATAATAATACAACGAGAAGGTCACCAGACATTACCGGCCTCATCCACCAGTCAGTCGAAAATTTGCCCGGAAAAAATCACTAACCCATTTAACCAAATTCGACTAATATTTGATGGAGCAAAATAATAAATCAAATAATAAAATCTACCATATTTGTGTTTATTTAGCAAAATCGAATATTCGACGATAAAATGTCAATAACTTTCGACAGCGATTTGATTTATTGAGTGGCTCTGACCAAATCAGGCAAATAAATGAGAGCAAAAGCAGCATGACATTTTTTTCTATCATACATGGCTATTTTCTATCGCATGCAAAATTGTGAAGCGCAAAAAGTAAGAAAAAAATCTCAAATGAAACGCAAATATTGTTGTTCCGAAAAAAGAAAAGTAAACAATTAAAAACTAAAGCGAATAAACAAATAATGACAATTTGCAATAAATTATTCATACTTTTATGGTAATTTCAAAAATTTCAACGATGAAACTCACTCATATTGAAGGCAAATAAATTCAATAAATTCGTTCGAATCAACTTGTAAAAAGTAATAAATGCAACTTAGAAAGGCATTTAAAATGGAAAAAAAGTCAAAAATATTTAAAGGCGCTTAAACGTGTTTAGCGAGATTGTAGGCGGTTGCTTTACAGTCAATTAAAATTTATATAAAATTTTTATGTATTTTTAAGTATTTTTTTTTTAGAAATTTATCTCATGGATTTTATGAATATCTTAATATTCACTCTTCGCTTATATTTTCTTTTAACTTTCATTCTTTTTTTCATGTGGGTGTGTTATACATAAAATAAAATGCATGTCGAACAAGAAAGAAGAGCTGTCTTCGTCTTTATACCTTCTATGATCATTTAAGATTAAATATTAATTCTCATATCTGAACAAATCGATTGCATGAGGGTTAGGTAATATAGTCCTCCGATTTCGACGATTTTCATTGACAATTTTCAATGGAGCAAAATTGTTTTCGCGGTCGCAATGCCGAGCAATGAGCATTACGTACTGACTCTCGGAACACCACATCTAAAATGATAGAAAATTAAATTTTCTAATTATGTTCGCCCCTTTGCAGAAAATATCAATCTCTCCGTGTATATCCTTGACAGGAAATAAAATCCCCTCAAGAAAATCCATCGAAAGGCAGAGTAGAATAAACCGTTGATCTCGCCATTTGTTCATCAGGGCACATACCACTAAGTAGAGAAGGAACTCAGCCACTCTGTCACTTAGTTTATACTCAGTCTGGTCTGCTATTTCAAAATAAACAGACTTGCGAATTGTGTAATTTTATTACCAAAATATTCGGTCTACACAGTCGCCCAGAAAATAGGTAATTCGAACAACCATGGATCGGTTTCCTATCGCGTTTATTATAGTAGATAGTGGACATCTTCAAAGATAATAGGCATCCTCAGAAGCGTCATACAGTGCACGACACAGACGCCATAGCTACTTAGAGTATAGTACCGAAGAAGACCCGAATGAGTCATTTCGCCAACGCGCGCAACAATTTTCAGCTTGCTTATCCACTTTATGGAAGATTTTGCAGCAAGAACTTGGTTTACGGGCTTACAAAGTCTCACTCTTACTAGAAGGGAGCCTACATGATATGGTCATCGATGACGATTTTCACAGGAAAATTTTGTTTAGCAATGAAGCTCAATTTTGGTTGAATGGGTACTTTAAAAAAAAAAAATTATCGCCTTGGGAATGATGATAATTCACAAGTCACAGCTGAGACGTTGTTACATCTTCAAAAAGTCACTGGTGTGGTGTGCTATAGGACAGATGAGTCCATATTTCTTCAAAAGTAAAGTCGACCGTAATATTACAGTCAATGGGGAGCGCTCCAGACTTATGTTTAATGACTTTTTCGTACCTGAATGGACGACCTTTGGTTCCAACAAAATCAGCGCCAACGAAACGAACATTTTATTGAGGGAAACTCATGGTGAACGCTTTATCTCTCGTAGTGCGCCTTCGACGTGGCCTCCAAGACCGTGTGTTTTAAGACAGCCAAACTCCTGTTTGTGGAGTTTTGTGTAGTCTCTTGCATACCCAGTAAACCCTGAGACGATCGACGGCATGGAAGAGAATATTCGGCGTGTTATTGCCGACACACAGCTCTCCTTGTTGCTAAAAGTGGTCAAAAGTTGAACCTCTCGGTTAAAATATTGTATGGTGTTAAAGGCAGCCGCAGCGGTCACTTGCACGAAATCTTTTTAAAAACCCTTGTCTTTATAATAAATTCTTGGTCAGAACATTAAATTTGTATGCAATTTATTTCTTCTTGAAAACCACATGTCTAAAAGACACACCCTTTACAACCTAAGCTCATTACCTAATCTATTTAGTACGATTATGTTATGACTTGGAAGTAATTATACAATATATGCGTGTATATTTTATAAAATTAGAACATTTGTTGTCTTAAGTAGTTTTGCAGTTTTTTTCCAAATACTCATCCAACAATTGATTCTTATATTATATAAATTATGTATGTATGCGTGTATGTATATGTATTTATGTATATAATTCTTTCATTAGCAACTGTGTTAAGGCTAAAAGTGACTATTCTTTTGCAGATAAGAAAAGTGAAATCCAAGCGTCACAATTTATTTTCAGTTTGACGATAAGGTTTATATATATACATACATACATACCTACATATGTGCATTTATGTATATGAACAAATGCGTACACGCAGATAACATATAATCACTTAAAAATACATTAGCAAACACTTTTCGAGCATCACATGGTAATTATTATATAATATAAGAAATGAAATTTTGTCATAAACTTATTACATACATATGATAAAGCATTAGGCAGTTGTTGTAAAGAATCTTTAGTGGGAGTAAGGAAATGTGTGATATTTTCATCAGTTTCACAGAAATATCGTGCTTTTTATCGACCTACTCTCTCTTTCTCCCCTTCGCACTCTTCCTTGCGCTCTCTTTACTGTCTCTCTCTCTCTCACTCTCTTTACTCTCTGTCTCTCTCTTCCTGCCCACTCTCTCTATCTCTGTCTTTACTCGCTTTCTTTCTCTTCCTGCCCACTCTCTATATCTCTTTCTTCCTGCCCGTTCTCTCTCCATTCTCTCTCTTTCTCTTGCTACTCTCTAGCTATCTCTCTCTCCTCCTGCCCACTCTCTCTCTCTTTATCTGCTCTCTCTCTCTCTGTCCCTTTTTCTATTTTTCTTGCTCCATCTCTTTTCTTCTCTTTTTCTTGTTCTCTCTCTTGCATTCTCTCTCTTGCATTCTCTCTTTTGGTTCTCTCTAACTTTCTCTCTCTCTTTATCTTTTTCTCTCTCTTTCTTACCCCATCGATTTTTTGTTCTTCCTTTCTTTCTCTCTCTCTCTCACTCCAAGCTAAAAAATATGATTTTCGAAAACTTCTCTCTTCCTGTAAATTTCATTCATGTGATTCCGAGCACCTGCCCGAGCGAATGATGGGATTACAATGAAATACTTTTTCTGCTCCCTATAATCGCGCTCCAAGTTCCGTGCCACGTTTTCTAGACAATCCTTGCTAGTGAGCCGG